CACTGTTTTTGCTTTAGACGGCTGCATGTGTACAGATGTTGTTGATCATCTTAACTTCTTGGAGTTGAGCTAGTGGGTCAGTTTATATGTTTGTGTGTTACACTTTTATAGGTTCTAAACAACTACAAAAGATGTTGAGTTTAGTTGTTTGGATTGTAGAGATATCGTATTTTGTTCTGTCAGTAGAAGTCTGAAGTTAATTTTTTGTGTTTCTGTTATTTTGGGTAAAAAATTAGCGGAAATGTTGAAGTGCTCACCTCCTCCTTCAAGATCGCTTTCTATATATGCACCACTGATTCACATAATGAAGGTTTGTTGATTACCGGACCAATATTGCTAAGCAAGTTATAAAACTGATGATCTGAAGTATGTAATCTGGTTCTTGCTCACGACCTGAAATTGTGATAGGTCAACCCTGAGAAAGTAAACTTAATCATTGGTAGTGGTGGGAAGAAGGTGAAGAGTATTATAGAAGAGAGTGGAGTAGATGCCATTGACACGCAAGATGACGGGATTGTAAGAGCAGACAATTACCCAGTCAGACCATATTATTCCCTTAAAATTTTCACCATAAAACATTACTCATGTTCTGGGTATTGCAGGTGAAAATTACTGGCAGGGATTTGTCAAGCATAGAAAAGTCTAAAGCTATTATTACTAACTTGACAATGGTTCCATCAGTTGGCGATATCTTCAGGTAGCTGTTTCTTATGTAGAAAAATATAGACACATTCACAAAAGATACTGTTATTGCCTTTATAATTCAAAAGTATAAATATCATAGCTATTGCAATTTTTTTTTTCTTTTTTTTTTTTTTTTTTTTTTTTTTTTGGTAAAATTTAAAAGCATCATAACTACATTCTGCATTATCACTTTTACATATAGTTTATACAGTTGGAGAACATTCCTTGATCTCTTTCAAATATGTTGTCAAGAACCATGCTGTATATAAAGTTACGTAAAATACACGTCGAGTGAAAGTAATGGTAATGGTAAGTTCTGAGGAAATGTAGTAATTATTAATTATATTTAATACCACGACAATTATAAGGTGGTAGTGACATTTTTTTCCAAGTCAGCCTGCTTGCAAAAATAGAGAGATCTCATTCAAACTAAAGCAATTTATGGAACTATTCTCAATAATCTTATGGACTAAAGACCAGGATCTAATACTCCCCTTGATTTTGTATCTTTTTGTATTTATTTATTTTCTGAGGCTTAGTGAAAGAGTATATCAATATATTAGCTGAAAACTGGCAAAGTCCCTTTTACTCATAAGCACTCCAGGCACTCTGTTGCTTACTAGCAATTGCAGGCTATCTGAATTTTGTGTCAGCTACTACCAGAACGTAGCTTCTAGTCAAGTGTGGTATGGGAACTCATAACTGATGCATGTCGTCATTCATTAGTGTATCTGGAAACAGGACATCTTTTTCATATGCCTTTTGTGTTGTTAATTATGGTTTAGATTACTAGCTAACTGTTTGACTTTCTGGCTTTGATGTATCAGGAACTGCGAGATCAAATCAATAGTTCCATATGGAGTATTCGTGGAAATAGCACCTGGGCGAGAGGTATAATCCAGTGCATCCTTAGTACATAATTGATTAGTTCTTTTGCCTCTGTAAGCGTTATAAACCTAGTGTTATATAGAGATAAGCCTCAACTTATAAATAAATGGGGTTAAATCAGTACATCAACAGACATCTCACTTCTCAATCTTTTACAGGGACTTTGCCATATTAGCGAGTTGACTTCAGAGTGGCTGGCCAAGGCAGAAGATGTAAGCACATAATGTTTTTCTATATTACTATATGTGTGTGAGTGTGCTATGATCATGGAGATAATAGCTTTCTTGTTTATTTTTTTAACAGGCTGTTAAAGTTGGAGATCGTATTGATGTTAAACTTATTGAGGTACGTTCTGTCATTCCTGACATCTTTTAAAAAACAAAACATAACATGAACTGTTTAGTGATAAGTGATTAGTTAGTGTCAAATATTCATCTCAATGGGACAATAACATTTGCTAACAGCGAAATAAATAAGAAAATTGTGGAGTTTCCTTATCCTAGAAGCGTGAAGAACATGTCTTTTCTAATAAGATAAGCAAGATCCATTATAGTCCATGGTCCCGCAAACTTTGGTCTCATTAAGGGAAGTTTGAATCCAGTCCTAACCTTTGCATCAAGTTGCTACCTCATGACTTGAGCCTGTGTAGTTGTGTTTTCTAGCCTGAAACTTTTACCATTGCACTCGACGAACTTTCTAATACTCCATCCTCCATTGTAAGGCCCCTTTCAAAGCGAGGAGTCCTCGCACATTGATAACATGTTGACAAGACTACTGATTAGAGTTGATTCAAAAACTTTATGCCGATGCATACAACTGCCAGCTTTTGATGGCAACAACTCTAGTATTCATGCGAGAATTTGAAGTACAACTGTCCTTTGCACAATCTGTCCATTATCCCTGGCATAAAATTTTTGGAAACATTCCTGATGTCGTAATTTCAGCAAACATTGCATCATTGGTTTTAAGAAAGCTCTTTTATAAATAGACTACTGACAGGAATGCATAGTTGCAGACCCGATGGTTTGGTTTTTCTTGTTAGGTAATCAGTTTAGTTGTTTTTGTAAATTTTTGTAGTGTTTGTTTATGTAGTCTGCCATAACCGCGACAGTGCCTTCTTTTTTCATTCCTTCCTATCTGTTGATCAAGTTTTGCTTTTACTGGGCCAACTATGAAGGACTACAATCAGATAATTTGGCCGTATAATGCAGGTAAATGAGAAGGGGCAACTTCGCCTTAGCCGCAAAGCTCTACTTCCAGATACAGGTGTAGAGAATGCCAGTGCAAAGCAGTCTACAGGTGACTCCAATGATGTAGCTTCTCAAGAAACATCTGACAAGGATTCTCCAAAGAGGGAAGAGCTCCCGCAAAAGAAGTTTATTCGGAGATTAGTCAGCACTGCCAAAGATAGACCAAACATCAACAAAGATAAGACAAAGAAGAGCAACAGCAAAGTAGCCAGTAGCGTCTCCAGCAAGGACGAAAATACTTTAGTGAATGGAGAGGCTAACATTGGATAGTATGGAAATTTTCTTCTACCAACTCACGAGGATTATTTATTGCTCCTGTTTGTTGAAAAATGATGGTGCCATGCCTTCAGCTAAGGAAGAAATGGTATGAGTTACCTACCTATATATTCTTTAAATGTCATATATCAGGTTCATATGATCTACATGAAGTAAACTAGATTTTGAGCACGATATATACGCTTTATTTGTATTACTTAAGCATTCACTAATTGGAAAAGATGGAATCTGCTTTCGACAGGAAATCATTTATTAGCATGTTCCACCAAAAGGCTCGCGTAGCGTGCATTGACGTGAATGTGTCACATTTTACCAAGGAACCTGAGTAAGTGTAACTACATCGTGTGTTCTTTAGGAAAGCTGGGAAAAGTTGCTGAAGCAATGATTCTTACTTGCTCAAGACTCCATTTGATGTGGGGTAAGCTTCCTTGCTAGATGCTTGAGAGTTTCTTTTGCAGTACAGGAGGATGCCATGGCGCATTTTTTGTTCGGATTTCGACACGGAGTTTCATTTCTGTTGGCTGTTTATTGCAGCACCACAATAGTTTTGCTAATATGTTGTAAACGATCACAGTTGAGCTCCGTCATACGTTTTCTTTTAAGTTTTTCTTGGCTGTCACTCAAACACCCTCCGACTCTAGCTATGGACTGATGCTTGTAAATCTTTGAGCCATCTATTAGTCTTGTAAGCGGGAGAGGGATTGTTGCCTGGTTCTGTTGCTCGAACCACACACCCGACAATGCTGTCGGGTTGTACACAACCACGTTCAGAGTCGGATTGTATATCCAACCCGCAATCCCAACCACTGCGGCATTACTAATCAAAATAGTGCCGTCGGAAAGTAACTCACGAGGGTTTGGGTCGGTTATTTTGATCTGCCCGCATTTTTTTTTAAGGAAAATTAATGAAAAGGGTTTGAAAACTTTGAGTTTTAATCAAAGACACAAAAATTTGTTGTAAGTAAATAGTACCATGAGTGACTTTTTAGAGTAAAAATGTTTTTTTTCGTTAAAGTGAACAGTATCAAAAGTGTTTTGTTAAAGCTCTTTTTTTTATGCTTCCACAAAAGTCCGGTTGACAATCATTGGAACAAGACCACAAACCAAAACCTCTGCCTCCATATTTTGTGCTTGCAAGTTTTCGAGTCACGGGAGTCGAACTTAAGACTTCTCCTCTAAAAATAGCTTGGTTCAAGCCTTTTTGGGCAACTCAAATGATTTTTTAGAGCTTAAGTTTTGCTCGTTTGTTAAGTGAACTCTCAACTTTTGTTTGACTCAACTAATAAAACTGAAAAATTAATATGAAAAAAACAAATAAAATATGTTGAGGCTTTTGCCCAAAAAGATATATAGAATAAACTGCTGATTTAGTGTCTGAATTATCACCTCAATTAAATTAGATCTTTAAATTATTTTTTAATAAAAAAGATCCTTAAATTGATTAAAAACTGCTATATGAAGAGCTATTTCATCAAAAAATTTGTCAACTTATAGGCAACTTTAAGGGCTTATAAGCGAGAAAATGACACTCTAAAATGTGTCATGTGATTTAAATTAATGAAAAATTGAATATAATAGTTTTGAACCTTACATTAAAGATGTAATTAACAGACTTTTATTAATTTAATTATTAAGGACCATTTTTTTTTTGAAAAGTAATTTAAAAATATAATTTTTATTTATATAATAATTTAAAGACTAAATTACCGTTTATATTTTGATTTAATAAAATGAGTTCTAACGAAACACTTTCAATAATTTTTATATTTCCCTGTTACTATTCATTACACAATTGTTTGTCTTTTTTCAATAAAACTATTTTTTTTTTTTTTTTTTTTTTTTTTTACTTTTCGTTAATTTTTTTTAATCAAATAAAATGAGCCGCACCCCAACAAATCCAGCCGATTTACAGCCCTAAAGGCACCAAGTGAGAGAACAAGTTCCCGCCACTTTTGGCGTCTCCTTCTTCTCAGTGAAGAGTGAAAGAAAAACAGTATTCTCAGGATGTTGTGGGTCGACAAGTACCGACCCAAAACCCTAGACCAGGCAATTGTCCACCAAGACGTCGCCCAAAACCTCAAGAAACTCGTAAAACCCTAACCCCCTTCCTCCTCCGATCATCTCTCTACTGCCTTCAACCCCCAATTTCTAGGGTTTTGTATTTTTTTCTTTATCTAATTCGTTGGAATTTTCATTTCTAATAGGTCGCGGAGCAGGACTGCCCCCATTTGCTATTTTATGGCCCTTCTGGTTCCGGCAAGAAAACCCTAATCATCGCCCTTCTTCGTCAGATTTTCGGACCCAGTGCCGATAAGGTCTCCGATTATTTAACTCTCACACTTTTTAATGTTTTTTAAACGGTCTCCATGCGCATTTCCAGTTACCGAATTGTGGGTATTTGAGAAAATTCTCTCTTTTATGATGGATTTTGAGAAATTCTTGTGATTTTGGTTGGCAGGTGAAGGTGGAAAACAGGGCATGGAAAGTCGATGTAAGTGAATTGCCCGCTTTTCAATTTATATGATTGATCATTGATGCTGCTTCTGCAGAAACTATTGTTGATTTGTTATTTAGATTTATTTGCATTTTGCTTATTATTATCTATCCGTGTTTGGTTTTTCGAAAAAGGAACAAAGTCTTCTTTAAAGAAAAAAAAAGGGTTCAAACCATCATCCATGTAATTGATGCTTTAGGAAATGCTTCTGATATCTCAGATTTGCCTATTCCTCTAATGTGTTGTTCCATTTGTGGCTTCACGAGCTTTTGTAGCATCTGTCACCTGAAAATCATAGGTTGTAGTTGAAACTTGATGAAAGGCTGAAGAACACTGACGTCTCCCATCTTAGCTCAATATAGTGTATCAACCCAATTTATTTGTTTTTTTCATCTCGCTTTGTTTCAACGTACTTTTGGGCATTCTGACTTTAAGTAACATTGTTTATGTTATATAATAGATCTAGAGTTTTTTTTTCAGATATCCTCCTTGTTCGATTTGAAATTGTTGATGCATACTATGCATTTTAATTTTTAACTAAAACTTTCCACTTTTAGTATGTTTAATTTGTATTTTATTTTTTGCATTTTATTTTATCTAAAATTTTTGTATGGTTTATTTTCAGGCTGGGAGTAGAACAATTGATATAGAGCTGACTACATTATCGAGCACCAATCATATTGAACTGAACCCCAGTGATGCAGGGTTTCAAGACAGATATATTGTTCAAGAGATAATCAAAGAAATGGCTAAAAATAGACCCATTGACACAAAAGGGAAAAAAGGATATAAAGGTACCTTCTGATCATTAATGAATTTACACTTACCCAATAGGTAAGTAGTTGGGTATCCAATTGTTTAAGTATTATATACTAATACTATGTCCTGTTTTCAATGTCAGTCCTAGTGCTGAATGAAGTTGACAAACTTTCAAGGGAAGCGCAGCATTCTCTTAGAAGAACTATGGAGAAATATAGTGCTTATTGCCGGCTAATACTATGCTGTAACAGTTCTTCAAGGGTTACTGAAGCAATCAGGTCTCGATGTCTTAATGTGCGAATAAATTCACCAACAGAAGATCAGGTTTGATTTTTCTGGCTTCCAACTAGTAGAACTGCTTGTGTGAAATTAACTATTGTCGAGTGTGTTGCCTTCCACCGTAATCCATCCTTCATTTAACGTATATCATTTTTTTGGGTGCCAGATTGTGAAGGTATTGGAGTCCATCGGAAAGAAAGAAGGGCTGCAACTTCCTTCAGGATTTGTTGCTCGTATAGCTGAAAAATCCAATAGGAGCTTAAGGAGAGCTATATTGTCATTGGAAACTTGTCGTGTTCAACAGTTAAGTGCCATAGTCCTTATTGATCATCAGCTGCACCAAGCAGTTCTTTTCTGTCTTAGGCTAATGCGCTTCATATAGCAATTGCACAGTTCCTGATACATAAGGTCTTTCTGTGTACCATTGATGTGGTTGCAGATATCCGTTTACAAGTAACCAGGCCATACCACCTATGGATTGGGAAGAATATGTTTCTGAAATTGCATCTGATATAATGAAGGAGCAAAGCCCTAAAAGGTTTGGTTTTTCTGCATGTTATCAAATTGGCATTTGTTGTGATATTTTTTTTTTCTCTGCAGTTCAGTTTAGAATCGTCCTTTTGTAGTTTAATTATCAAACCCAACCTAAGAAAAGCACACAAGAAAAAATTGAATTCCACAGATGTATGTTACACATTAAACCCTTATACAAGGTGGGAGGGTAAAAAAGGAATAGCCTAGAAGCGAAAAGATGACCATGCCATTCATGACAGCATTCATGGCTGCCATTTAGCATAAAACAGAATATGTATTTACGGGATCATGCCCTTCTCTTATCAAAAAGTCACTTTTTTGGAAACTTATAATTGAATTCAAAATTAATTGGATTTGAATACATTTATCTTATTTGTCCTTATTATGCCATCTTCTCACTAATTGAGTTTAGTAATTGCATGTCTAGCAACCTGCAGGCCCTTGTTCACCATAACGCAATCATATTACATGAAAAGAAAGATGATCGTAGAAGTTATTTTGTTGCATACAGTTATTGATCTCTAAAGTTTTTCTTTTCATTTTGCCTACACTATTCACGCTTGTAGAAGTAGGAAAGATGATTCTCCATCTTCTAGTGTTTCTTGGTACCCTAATCAAAGATTGTTCTGTTGGTTTTAGGCTTTATCAAGTGCGGCAAAAGTTATATGAGCTGCTGCTTAATTGTATTCCTCCGGAGATCATCTTGAAGGTAGAATTTTCTTTCCCTATAATATTGTTTCATACAATTTTCTCCACATCTATTTGCTTTAGGCCTTTTCAAGTGCAGCAATAGTTGAATAAGCGACTTCAACTTCGGACATTATCTTGAAGCTTATATATTCTATTTCAGAGACTTCTTTTTGAGTTATTGAAGAAGTTGGACGCGGAGTTGAAGCACGAGGTTTGTCATTGGGCTGCATATTATGTAAGTATATAATCGAGGTTATGTCAGAAGCCTTGATTTCTGACAGTAGTTCAATGTGGTTAGATTAGGCTTTATATATTTTTCATCAACATCTCTGTACTTGTAATCTCTTGTGCTGTTTATACATGATTAAGAATCATGAGCATACTGACCTCATTACATCGGGCCACAAGTCAAAGTTTGGGAATTGTGGAATAAAGTCAGGTTTTGGTTTCTCCAATTTTAATAGTATTTACATTGCAGATTTCTTTTTCTTTTTTACAGGAACATAGGATGCGTCTTGGGCAAAAAGCCATATTTCACCTTGAAGGTACTTTCGTCTCTCAAGATTCTGGTTGAGATAATGATAAGTAGAAATGAAGAATCATTACGTATTAGTTCAATTGCTTGCTCTCGATTTATAAAGAATCTCATTTAGGGTTCTTGAAATCTCGTTAAGAGTTTAATTTTTCTTTTTCTACCCATGATGCATGATGTTCTGTGTTGTGATCGTGTTTCATCTTATGTTACGTGTGATTTCATCATAAACTGTGAGGCGTGAGTTTTCAGATCCGTACTCATCCATCATGTACATGTTGTGCCTTTGGTAGCATGTATATTTAACATCAGACCTCTATCACATCACACATTTTTCGTATGGGTTGGGGGGCATGTGCTCATGAATATGACGACGAAGTGGCTTTCTAATCTCTAATGGGTTTTCGCTTTTCTCTCTTTTTTTGTTTTCAGCGTTCGTGGCCAAGTTCATGAGCATTTATAAGGCTTTCCTCATCGAAGCGTTTGGCTGAGCAGTAGACTGGCATAATGGCCTTCAACCAAACATTATGGCAACGAATTGTGTACTAATGTTACTAGACATTATGAGAAGATGTGTACTCGCAAACCAGCTTTGTAATGCAGTTGTATTTTCACTCCATTTCATTATTATTACTGAATTTCCTTTTTAAATTCTAATTTTGTCGAAACTCTTTAGTCTCTTCGTTCAAACGGAGGGCTAGAGTACATCAACGTATGATATATCGTTATCGAATTTAATTGTTGGATGTGCTCGTAAGAATTCCACGGAATTTAACGGGTGATGCAGGGTTTTGGGCACTTGATGTTTTCCCCCGGATATTATATGCGTTTGCTTGAATATGCAGAAACCTAGGTGATGTTTGTGCAACATTCTTATGGAAAGCTATTTTAGAATCAACTTTCATCCGACCAATGTTTAATCAACCAACTTTTCAAACATTTTGGGCCTAATTGGAAAAGTTTCTTCAGAAAGCACTTCTGCTTTAAAGCGCTTCTAGTAAAAGAACTTGAATTGCTTCCTTCCATAAAACACTTAAAAGTGCGTTTTGGAACACACGCTAACTTCTTCTACAAAATATGGTTAGAAGCGCTTTTGATGAACGAAAATGACTAAGTTATTTCAAATGCGCTTCCAGACATGACCTTAATAAACCTGTAAATGTCAATGAACACGATGGATGAAGGCAGAATGCTTATCCCGAACTCAAGCAATCGGATTGCCATGGTCAACACAAACATAAAGATAAAGAAATAGCCGCAATGAAAATAAGCACACTTGATGAACTACATTGCTGGGGTGTCTCAGCATTGTTTCAACATATTTACCAAAAAAGTTTTTAAGTCTTCCAACATAGTAAGTTCATAGGTCCAGTGCCAAAAGAGAGATCTTCCTAATACTTATAGACATCGGAAACCATTTTCCATGCATAAACGATATCTGATCAATCACCTCCCACCTGCCTCTTCCAGGAGTCTTCGACGATCAATTCATCTACGCCCCAGTCTTCATAGCTGAAAATATTAAACCCCAATTAATGTTTTTCTTAAACCATTTACAAATCTTAAAATACAAGTTATGGAAAATTTTGTGACTCTGTGTGCAATCATGAACAAGCTTCTCAAAAAAGTCGTAAACAGATAGTTTAAACCAAGACCTCTCAAATCATAGGCAAAACTAAAACTAGAACCTCACCTTCCATCAGGCAGGTAGCGGCGTATGGTGAATGGTATCTTCCGCTCACGAAGCTCCTTCATAGCAATCTATGAAATTCAATATTCCAGAGATTATTGTTAGCACACTAGAGTATAGCACAAGGGAACAATACCTGTTGTATCAATTAGATTACTTTGTGTACTAACAATTAGACAATATGTAAAGTCGCCTAAATGGTTTAATTTAAACCATCATATTTGAACATTAGAGCAATGTCGACTCCATGTTAAATTTCTATGCAGTCAAATGGATTAACGATATGTGATTCATGCGGGCACTGTTTATAGCAACTTATTTGTTTCTGACTGTCTAAAGCAACTTAAAAGTAGAAAATGAAGGGAATTTTTTCCCTCCCAACCCGACTGTAATAGCTACAGACAGTAAATTAAGGAAATTCAACAAAGCGTATGCTCCTCTACAGTTCTGAGTGGCACGGCCGCGTTAACATGTCATTGAGAACATTAACCAAAGAAGTCATTAATGTTATAATTAGTGCAGTGATATTCTTCTTAGCTGTTAATCCAGATAACTAGCAAATCTTACTTGGCTATAAGCTCTATTACGCTTATAGAGAAACAATCTCATTTCTCGTACGAATGAGAAGCATAAAAAATCTCTTCTCTCCCATGTAACCATTACTAATATCTAGCTTTATGTATGCATCTGAAGTGGAGAGGCCCGACACACCCTAAACCATGCCTATATATGTCTGTGCACGCGTGTGTTTAAAGCAACTATATATACCACGTTTTTAACCTCCCAGAAGAGTATAACCAAATGAATAAGAGCGATGAACCACCAACTCCATTTGTCTGTTCACAGTTCATAGAGAGATGACATACACAAACCATAGTTGATTAAACTGGGAACCGAAAAGATATACTTTGTTCTTATGACATTTACTGACATCACTCCTTTAGAGTCATCCTTTCCATTTTCTCCATCATTTCCTCCTCTTCCTTAATTAATTACCAATAAACACCAGTTGCTGACATACATAATCAACAATCAGAAACCTATAGCCTTACCCACTCCCAAATATATCAAGATTGATAATGCAGCACCTAATGTGACATTCACTGAATTGGGTAAGGATGAACATTATTCAAGAAACAAATATTCAAGCTCATATTTTCAATAGCTACCAGAATTAACTATTTGCATCATTCGTGTTGCTGTTGCATATCTACATTGTACTACAAAAAATTAGATGCTAACAGGACAATTAAGCGCTCACGAAAACAGCATTTCTACCCCTATTTCCATTTTGCAACACTCTAGCTACCAAAAACTTTTGAAGAAATAGTCAATAAGGCGGTTGGTGAATGTTGTACATATCATCATTTGACGATACAATCTCACATTACAAGTTTTAGTCCTTAATTTACCTCAACTCAACGTGAAAGCAGCAAAATGACAAGATCGAAACAGAGGCTAATAGATTTACAAGTGATAAATATCTGTAGGGGAATGGAATCTTACCTCAAGCGGGTCAGTCTCGCCCTCCAATTCAACCATAACAGGGGCATTCATGCTGTTCATCCAACCGAAAGATTAAAATTTTGTCAGCGTCCATCGAAGCCAAAATCAAACAAATAAAAATTGTAGACAGATAACGTAAAGTTTGGAAATTTGAAATACCTAATCTGCAGAGCACGGGTACCCAAGATTCTACCACGCTCGTACTTGGTCATATATTTCGAGGTTTTCCGAGGCCGTTCCACCCCCTCTTGTTCTTCCTTCTCCTCGGCTTCGATGGGATCTCCTGCAACATCATCATTGTTCAAATTGTCAACATCCTCCTCCTCTGCCCCTTCCTGCCCATCATTCCAATTAAAACTCAGAAATTAAAAAAAAAAAAAAAAAAAAAACATTGTATTTACCAACAAAAAGGGGAAAACTAAAAAAAAAAAGTAAGAACCTTACTTCAATTTCGGGCTCTGGAGGCTCATCCTGGTATCTGCAAAAAAATGAATAATAAATCAGTATACCTCACATACGCAATGACAGAAAATCTGAGGAGAGAGAGAGAGAGAGAAAGAACCCCATGTCAACGTCGTTGTAGTCGTCGTCCGCCATTGTTGATGGGTGAAGAAGTTCTGGTTTAGGGTTTATGAACTTTCGAGAGAGAGCGCCTGGAATAATGTGGGAAGGGATTAGGGTTTGAAATAAGGTTTTTGAACGATCAGGTGTGGCAACGACCACCGTAAAGTTTCTAACATCCAATCACGGTATAACAACTGGCAATTTTTTTTAATGAGCCGAGGGTTTAAACGGTTTTTAACACAGAACGCTTTCCTCAAAGCTTCTTCCGCAAGACGCCGTCGTTTTCCCCCTTATATCCTCAGGCAATCCATCTTCTTCTTCTATCTGAAACCCTAGCTGGCGCTTGTTCTCGTTCGCCATTATGCAGGTAACTACATATCAAATCGATATTATCGCCCTAATTAGTCTCTTAAAACCCCAATTTTCTGTTTGTTTGCTGAGAAAATTGAGGAAGAAAATCAACATCCATCTTCCTCAAGCTGTTCTCTTGGGGATTCCAAATTCATAAACCCTAACTTTTTTCTTCGTTTACTTAAAATTAGTAATTAGAGCATAGCTAATTGTTTTTATTTTGATTGGTTTAGGCCAGTGACAGGTTCAACATCAATTCCCAGCTTGAACACCTTCAAGCTAAGTACGTTGGAACCGGGCACGCCGACTTGAATCGATAGTGAGTAGTTAAATCTCTCTTCCTTTCAACTCTTGAAGAACGAATAACAATTAGAGCTCGTTGGATGTATTTTTAAAATGACTAAAAACGCTTCTAATGAAAATGTTTTTGAAATCAATTCTTAGTAAAAATACAAGGAAATTTTGAAAATGTACTTAAATGCTTCATGGAAGAAGCACGTTGCAAAAAGCACTTCAAGTACTTTTGGAATCCTAAATCATTTTCTCTATAAACGCTTTCAGTCATTTTAAAAGCATATCCAAACGAGCCTTTAATCTTTTGCGTTTATAATTTTGCTTATGTGTTAATCTTGAAACTATCTCGTCTCTGTAATGTGTAGTGAATGGGCGGTGAATATTCAGCGTGATAGCTACGCTTCGTACGTTGGCCATTATCCAATTCTCGCATACTTTGCTCTTGCCGAGAATGAGTCCATTGGGAGAGAACGCTACAACTTTATGCAGGTTCTCTTTATTCCTTTGTTTTTGTGCTTATGTATGACTTTGAGGATAACTAATTTCGTTGGGTGTTTCGCTTTAGTTGGCTTTAGGAATTGTATTCTGGATATAGTCTCTTGCATTGTTGTGAGTGATTTCAGATTTTCTTACTTGTTTGTACCTCGTAGTATTACTTATCCATGTGTGTTAGCCCCGTTCGAACCTTAACTCATATACACAAGAAACTAATCATACAAGAACTAGAAATACTAATCAGTTCATTTAACATCATGATTGTACAAAGACCTCAGTATATAAACTGAGTTTGCAAGCTGAAGCGCCTAACTAAAACCAATCTCTCATAAATTTACTAAAATGACCGTAGCTTCCTATCAATTTGTGCTTTTGCGGTGGTGTATGTGATATTGACATAGTCTTGTACTTTCAAATGTTTTCTTGCCTTGTGTGTTGTACTTTTTCGCGGGTAAACAAAAGCGGCTCTTAGCCTTACCCTGTGCGGTATAAGATCTTGAGGGAAGAGAATGGTAGTAATAGTTTCTTTGGAGTGAGTTTGTTATCACATTGTTTGGGTAAAGCTATCTAATTCTTTGAGCAGTTTTGCGTTGAAGTAATCCCGTCTGCTTAGTGTTTTCTTTGATGGTACGTGCATCTTTTGCATCCAATCATAGGAAGGATTGCCCTTATGGTATAAGGGTTAAGCGGCCAAACAGTTGGGTAGCCAGTTAGTTAAGCAAGCATGGATTAAGATTTTAATAATCTTGCTTATAGGTACACTAAAAGCAGGATGATGTTGAATTTGATAGGTTTCGTCAACAATTCAATCGTACATGCCTTTAAATTTCACGGGATGTAGGTTACATATGAAATGTGGCTCTTGTGTGTAAAATGTTTAATTGTAAATTTATGTGACTAAGACTTAAGTGCTATGGGTTTGTGTGCGCGCACGCACACATGTTTTGATACTAATTATTTGTTAGGCTTCCTCGTGTTAGTTTCCAAATTCCTGTATAATTTTGGTTTCTTGTTAACATCACTTGGTCCAGTCACGTAGTCTATCATGTTACATACGCCTTTCGTATTTTTCCCTTTATTTGTACCCTTATCATCTGATGCGTAAGTTCGTTCTGAGTAATTTATGATGGCTGTCTATTAGGTATGATTTGGTCTTATAGAGAGATTGGATTACGCGAGTTGTAGTATTCGAGCACTAAATACGTGTTGTAATGAATTGGTTGGTTTTCTTTTTTGTTGTGCAGAAAATGCTTTTGCCTTGTGGTCCTCCCCCAGAAAGAGAAGGCGATTGAGAACGTTATTAGGAGTGCATATCCTGTTTGCTGGAAGTAGCCATCATATATCTCTTGTTGCCCTTATAAAAATGGTCACTGAGTTTGTATATCTAAATCATTTTGGTCATTCCGTAAAATTTTGTCAATATTCTCATTAAGTGGAGGGGTTTGTTTGACAAAAATACATTCAAAAGGTGACCACGTTTAACGTGACAATTTAATGAGGATATTGATAGATTTTTCACGAAATATTCCAAATGATCTACGATGTACAAACTCATTGGTCTTTTTTAATTTTCATGTCAGAGACTAAAATGAAGAGTTATTTCAATCTTACAATTGGATTGGATACAGTTTTACTCAAATAAATCGGTTCTGAACCGATTATTTAACAGCCCTAGCTATTTCACCAAATGGGAAAGCTTAACTAACATCACCAAAAGAAGTCACAACTATGGATTATCGCAACACATAAAAACCTATTTGAAATGAAGCAGACTTGGGCATAAGAAAGTAGGCTAGAGTAATGTGTTTCTCCTTCGACATTAAAGTCGAGTGTTTGATGTCTAAAATTTAGTTGGAACTTAACATAATTAACATGTATTGAAGTGGATCCCTTCAGATTATTGATTGTTGCAATTGAAATATTATAGCGGGAGTGACTACAATATTTGCACGTATTTAACACAATCATCATTTGATGGTAAGTATTATAACTAAATTCTAACTGTATCAGGTTTTTCACGTAATTAACATGTATGTGACATATGTGCGGGTAAATAGTGAAAATTGATACATAAAAAATAAAAAAATTAAAAAAAAAAAAACCATGGACATGCTTCAATTTTTAATTTAAAAAAAAAATGACTGAATCATGTTATAATCCTTTAATTGCAATAATAACTAAATTTTGTTATAATTGGAGAGATTTTTCGAACATTACTCTGTATACCAAGATGTTATAATATAATTGGTTGGAATTTAAAAAAAATTCAACCACTCATATTGGAAAGGGATCATATCTGGGTCCCTTCCACCAAATCCTCATGATCCACAAATCTGGGCTCTTGAAATTTGATTCAACGATTAAAAATAAGAGGTCCCATTAAAAGTTATAATAACTTTAGCTATTGGATAAAATTGCAAGAATCCTGATTGGTGGGTCATGAGTATTTGATAGAAGAGATCTAAAAATGATTCATTTCCACTTATATTATGATACTAGATGTATCGAGCCGTGTTACGACAAAATAAAAAGTTTTTTCAACAATTGAATTTGAAACTATAAGGATTGAAGTGAAACTTCGCCCAAACTACAAAGCTTAAAATCATAATACTTGGGAAGTGTCCTAGAAATAAATCATAATACTTGGGCTGAAAAGTTAAATTTTAAGGCGCGCGTAGAGCGCGACTGAGAAAAGAAAAAAAAAGCCTGTCGACACGCGCCGTAGCGGACGGTTTTGCATTTTTCCATGCAGCGTTTCCTTCCATACGACGTCGTGTCGTCTTCTTCCCCTTGCCAAGTTCCAATTCCGCTCCAGAAATAAAGAACCCTAAATCCCCAAAGTTCCCGAAACCCTAAAAACTTTTGCTCCAGCCAGATCCAACTTCAATTTCTACTTCTCATTCCGCTTTGGCATTCTTCCGAATAAGGTTCAGCTTGTAAGTCTGCTCGGTTCTTTAATTTATCTCTCTCCTTTATTTTTGCGTTTTTTGTTTATGCTTTTCCTCTCAGATGCAGTAAATACCTGAATCTGTTGTTTTGAATCCAGAAAAATATAATTTTAGGAGAATTTTTCTTATTATTTTTGTGTGTGGTTCCTCTGGAAATAAGACAGCAATTGGGATAATGGTAGTAGTTGCTACAGGTTGCACTGCCTTTTTGGGCTTGTTAGGATTGGATTGGATTGGATTGGATTACTCGAAAAATTCAAGGTGTATCGAAGGTGGCGGTAAATGATTTTTCTTCTTGAGAGGGTTAGACATTAAGGATATTCCTTCCAATCCTACCATTTTAGAGGATTGGAATGGATAAGTTTTGTTAATGAGTAATCCTTCTTCTTTCTTCAAGATGGACACGATGTTGTTATTTCTTCCGTCAACGGACATTGATTATAGTGAGTTATCTAGTTCAATCCAATCCTAGACGCTAAACGAGTCCTTTTTGACACCCAAATAGTAGTTGCTTTTTCAGTCTAATGGTTTTTATTTGAAAGTTTGAGGTTCGTTTAATTATTATATGTTTTGTTTGTTCAATTCAAAACACGAACTTGTAAGTTGGAACTGTGTGAACTGTAATTTATTATCTAGAGTAGATAAGTTGACATTATCAAAGAGAAATATATACTGTCGAGAGATTGCATGTTAGTGTTCCTTCCTAGGAGTTATTATTTATGATAGCACAAAAAAGAACTCCAAGGAAGGAAGCCCAGCTTGTGGAAGCGGGGGAGTAGATCTGTTGATCCTCTGTCTTCTGTCAATAAAACCCAATTTCTTCTTGACGCAAGCCTTTATTCCTTTTTCGACATATTGGGGGCTGCCCTTTTCTTTGCATATGATGATGTGATGTTTGCCTATTTGGTAGTTTATGTAATGAAAAGATTCTGATGTTTTGGCTTCAAGTGTGTTTACTTTTAGCTTTTGTTTTGTGATCACTGCAAAGTTTTTGCCATTTTATTTCAAATCCTTCATCAGCTTGGTATTTAAAAAATCCCAATTTCAGTACCATGCCGTAATTTGTCTTCTGTTTCTTACGTTCCCCAGTAGATTCTGACACATGTTCGGATCAGCCAACTTCGCACTAACCCTGATGATGTGTGAGATTTGGAATGCATAACAATGGCTCTGTGTTTTCTTGTTTGAGGTATCTCTTTACTCACACCTACTCCTACATTTCCATATAATTCTTTGATATTAGCTATTTTCACCTTAGGAAATTAGGGGGATAAAATGAATATCAGTCAGTGGTTGTATTTTGGTTTTCATTTTTTATGTTTCATGTAATTGGACAGGTCGAAACCAGTAGGGAAAAGTACACTCTTGAGGGTGGGGTTTTGTGAATTTTTGGATTGTAATGGATACCAACATGACTGAAAGGACGTCTCCGACACAAACCAAATGGAGAAAAGTGGCTTATGGAGGGATGCAACCTGGGTTTGATGACAATCACACTGATGAATCATTTCTTGAAGAGATGGTTACAAATGCCAATGTGCGAAAAAGGGACATGCTAAAAGTGATGCAGGATTCAGTTTCCATCTCCCAGTATCTGTGCATCGTAACTCTCACTGGTTTGGTTTGGATCTACACCCTCAGATCAACTCTGAACTGAAAATTCGCTTTTGCTTCTTGATGTCACCCTTCTCGGGTTGGGTTTTCTCATACTCCTTTTAACTCAAGAAATGTTTTCCCTCAATCTTCTTTTCCATTACATCCTCAATATTTCTTTTTTTACCACCGGCTTATATCTTCTAGCTCCTATTTATCAAACTCTTACAAGATCCATTAGCTCAGACTCTGTTTGGGCAGTAACCGTCTCACTCCTTGTGCTTCACCTTTTTCTCCATGACTACTTTGGGTCCACCATAAGAACTCTTGAGGCCCCAAACAATCCGACATTGACAAGTTGCATCTCTTTAAATGCTTCTGTTGTGGCCTCGGTTTTCATGGCTTCGCGCCTGCCTTCAAGTCTTCTTGTATTTGCGAACATGCTTTTCTCCCTGCAAGTTTTCCTTTTCGCTCCATTGGTAACTTACTGCATCAGGAAGTATTCCTTCCGTCTGCACCTCTGGTTTTCGTTTAGTCTGATGGTTGCAACCTTGGCTTTTGTTTATACGCTGCACTTGTTTCTTTTCGTGATGCTGTTAGGGTTGTTGGTTTTTGTAACTGTGGTCTGTCCGTATTGGCTGATACGGATGCAGGAGTACAAATTTGAGATTAACGGTCCGTGGGATGAGGCTAAGCTTTGTTTTGAGATTGTAGATTGAGATTTTGAGTGCCGTTACGACTGTTTGTTGTAATATATGTAATTTCAATGTAGAACATACAAATGCTGTGTAAACATTATCTTCTGTAGCTCTTACCGTTAATCGTGTTTAGTGATGTTATGCTTATCAACTTATGTCATTATAAATCGGTTTTTCTTCGGTGCATAGTAGTTATATGCTTCAATCGGTAGATGGGTCTCGAGTTCAAATATCCTTCCCAACTCAACCAATCCCCAATTCTCATTAAGGAAGAAAAAGGTCATAATTTTTCTTTTCTTCTATTTTTCTTTAGTACCTACATGCACTCAACCTTTCCTCTTGCGGTCCACCCATCGATGCAAGCCATTTTTCGAGGCAATCAAAAAGGCGCAGGGAAACAAGTGCGACGATGAGTGCGAGAAAGCGTTCTAGAACAATTATTTATCATCAATTTACGCTTTGGATCAATTTCAATGGTCAAAATATGTATTTACTTTTTTTTTTTTTTTTTTGACAAACGGTAAGATAATTTACATTAAACTAGATCAAACAGAAGACCGCAGAGTCGGTTAAAGTCACTTGATAAACATATGAATGTGAAATGGGTGGCCCAGTTGAAAAACCTTGCCCACCAAGCCCACCTAGCAGCCCAGGCCACAACCCATTCCTGTCCAATGTCTAGATCCAAAAAATAAAAATGTATAAATTAGAAAATTGTAAGGGCATTTAGTTCGAATAAATCGTCCGGTCCCGAACACGAGCACGCAGCCTCCTCAGTCGGCAGCACTAAGTCCTCCCTGTAGCTCGAGCCGCCGCTCCACCGCCATTCTGCAGCACTCCTCCACCCAGCGCCGCCCTCTGTAAGTCCTTGCTCGTCATTTCACCTTCTTCTTCTTCTTGTTTAACTCTTCTGCGTCTTGTCTTCTCTGTTACAAGGAATTCTGTGAACGTATTCATCTTTCCTGTTTGATTTTTTTTGCAAATTAACTTTAATTATGTGTCTAACTTCTTATTATTTCTGAATTAGTGACTAAATTGTTACAAATTTCTGAATTAACCATAATTCTGGCAGGTTACTAGGGCTTTGCATACTTTGTTCCCAATTTGTTCCAACAAATAGCAAAAAATGCAGAAGAATAAGGGAAGACAAAGAGGAGGGGGACCATTTAAGAGACGAACGGATAACAAGGAAGAAAACTCAGACACCCACTTCCAAAAAATGGACTTGAGGAACATTGCTAAAGAGATTGAGCTTTTGGGTATGTATATAATCTGTCACTATTGTTTTTCGCATTCATACAGTTCCTTTTGTTGTAATAACCTAAGATTTTCGGTGAAACAACATTTTTATAGAACCTATAAGCCCAATGTGAGTTCCTTCTACAAAGCGTATTGGTTTAAGGTGTTGTCGTACCGAATTTGTTAGGAAGATGATAGAATTGCTTGACATGCTCCATGGATAATGCCCGTGAAATGCTCATGTTTTCGTTTGATGCATCACATTGATGGGGTCTAGCTACTTAAGATTATTTCAGTGGTCAAGTGAATCTTTTGTATTGTTCACTCAAAGTTTTGTTGTATGGTGAGACAAAAGTATCATTTCGTGGTGTGTGGATTTTACTTATATGTATAAGTAATGGGATTGGACAACGTCATGTGTTTGATGCATTTATCTGTACCTTTTCAGTTATGTTTATGCTAATTTTAGTCTGCCCTTCCACTTCAAATTACTGCATTCAGGTACTTCTAATATGACATGGAAGGAGAGAAAGGAGTTGGAAAATAGGAGGGTGGTTTCTCTAGGCGGAAAGGTATAGACCTATCCCTATATTTAATTTCAAAAGTATTAATCTATGAACTGCTTTGTTTTGATTTATGTTTTTGTTGTAATGGGAAAAGGATTTAGTTTTAGGAAAATAAATGGTGAGAGGAGTTCGTTAGTGCCTATTATTTCCACACTCTACAAGCCTTGTTGTCATGTATCCGTAGCCTGTTTGTGCCACGTTGATTTGGAAGTCTAAGGTACCAAATACTTGCTTGGATAAGCTTGTGGAGAAGTTTGTACCTGTAACATTATGCAGAAGAAAGAGGCTAGTGTTGGCTTATCACCTGCTCATAGGAAAGATCACCTTTTGATTGCACTATGTGCAATGATCTGATTGATAGTATTGACGATATTTTTAGTCGCTGTGATCGCTTTGAGGCTTAGGTATAGGTTGTTCTGGAAAGCAAGGTCTGTTCAGGGCAAACAGAAAAGTGGAGGACAAATAAATTTTGTGGAACAGGGGAAAGTTTCTGGTTTTCTATAGGCTTCGAGTCCAATTAATTTAGGGACGTTCCATTGTTTTAGATTAGTGTGGATTGGAGGGCTGATGTAGCTTAAGTCGTGTGGATTGGAGGGCTGATGTAGCTTAAGTCAGCTGTTAGTTTTTGAGGTGTGTAGTCTGTTGTAATGACGGTTTGGTTCTGTTAATGTATAAACGTGGTGGTTTTGATTGCATTTTCGGTGGGCTGCTCGCTTGGTGCAACGGACATTTGTTTTATTTATTACTTGAGTTGAATATGGTTTTTATGTTTCCTGTAAATGGGAATGAAATTTGCTTAAGTTTGCAAATAGTGCTAGTAGTCAGCTGAAAGCACACAGCTTATATAACTAAAGAGCAATAGGACATTGGTCTCCTTCAGCTGAGCACCGACTAGTACTACTTTTTTCAATATGGCCATGTATGCATTCATTTACAAGCTCTCCAAAAGTATTCATGAGTGCTTGCTCCCTTGAAACAGCCTCAAAAGAACCGGCGACTACCTCTAAGTGTAGCAAAACTGGTCATGAAGAATCAAAAGAAAAGGGAGCAAAAACTGCAAGAACAGGTGATTTTCTTCTTCGACTGCCCTTTTTAATTTGCAAATGGTAGTTTGGTCAACTTGAACTAACTCGATACTCAATCTGTATAGAACATGGTCCTTGGACGTTTTGGTGGGAATTCAAGTGGCAGTTCTAAGAGATCCACAGAGAGGAAGAGGCCCGAGAACAGGGGTTTGAAAGGAAGCGAAGGACACTTTAAAAACGGTGTACTTGATGTGAAGCATTTGCTACGTCCTACTTCATCTGGAGACACATATGCTGGTCCGAGTATGTTCAGAGGGAAAACTAAGGGGAAGCGAAAGAAGCAACACAGGTAAGAAGATCGGCGGTATGGACTAGCATAATGACGGAAAATCATTTTAAACAAGAGCAGAAAGATTTTGCTTGTGTTGGTGGTGCTCCTATCGGCATTGGAACTCAAACAATACTAATGTGATCCCATGTATCTTGGCAACCACTAGCATTTAGCGACAACTCTTTTTCGGGTTTGTTATTTACTTCCTTTTAGTTCGAAATCTGTACCTCTCCTTACTGGACCGGATATAAACCACACCATGCAATTTTTATCTAACAGATGCAGTTTCCGTTTTCATGATTTCATCGAGCAATCAGATGCCCGATCATGGTTTCCTGGTATCGTTCGATCTTCATTGTCGTGCTCTAGAATTCATTCTGTAGAATACTTATGAGATGTGTATGTTTAAGTCAATTTACCTATGTAAACAAAATCTCGAGTGCTTCTTTGCCGTTCAACTTTTTAACATTTGACAGAAATTTGGAACAAATGCTAAAAGGTGAACGGTAAGCCCCAAATTTTATTTTCAGAGTTCAAATCCCTAAATTAGAGGGGGAGAAAATGTTTATTTAAAAGTGCTACAAAATCTCAATTTTCGCATATCGGACCGTGAGGTTTTAAAATTGTTTCCATTTATGCATTTCATCTATTTAATCATATGATTCTTAATTTTTTATCTACTATTATCTAAAAATAATCAAGTTATTAATGACTAGACGAAACCAAGAAATAACCCCTCACGTGCGAAATTATAGAAGATCCCCTTTAAGATCAAACAATTCTATCGAATTGAGTATGATTGTATGTGTGATAGCATCTACTATACCATGAATATAAATTGATATTATGACATGTGAGACCCACTTTCAGGCTGTTCAGAAGTCACACTTACACCAATCAGACCAAAATAAGTCATTGTTTTGGAATACAAACTATTAATTGAGATGTTGAAGCTCTATGATGTCTACTTTTGGTCCATGTGGTGTTAATGTGCATTCCACAACTCATAAAATTGGACCCAAACTCAATTTAACGAAGGACTACAAAGTCAACCTGATGGAAGACATAGATTGATAAGATCTCAAGATTTTATGATGCAACGTGAGAAGATTAACACCCGTAACCAGTTTTAAAAATCATTTCAATCTGAGACGGTGTAAAATGAAGTGGTCCAAAAATAAATCATGACATAAGTGCAAATATTTTCAGAGGCGACTCGATCTTGAAAACAATACAACACTAGGTGACACCCGAGACGCAAAATACAACAGAAAGTACAAGATTTAAAAGGATAATTGTCCACCGGGCTAAATTGTCTATCCAGTCAGGTCAAGCTATCCGATTCCAAACTGAAAGTATTAGATTAAGGATAATTGTCCACCCGACTAAATCCTCCACCACTTCCTCCAAGCTCCCATGATATCCACGTTTCAACTGAAGTTCTTCAAAACTTCAACCTTCAAAGAGTTCTAATAACCAAACATGTAATCATCATACATTGTTAAACATCTGCTACGACTAAATTAACGAAACAAGATTAACGTAAACTTACCGAAACAAGACAGAATCAACCATCAACGTCTTGGGGGTGGTCCGAAAAACTCTACACGAAAAGAATGGGAAATGTTTGAAGAAATGCATAAATTCAACTCGGGCCAAAATTACAAAGAATTTGAATTGTTACCTGACTCGAGTTATTCGTAGAATTGTGTGTCCCGGATAAGTTTTCATCATCATCTACCAAGACGGGAGAAGATGGTAGGGTTCGTAGCCAATCTTGCAAGCACATCAACGCCTGCGCAAACTTAGGAGTGTACGAGCTCCAATGCTTATTAAGAGCACGCCCTCCTGTGCCTGTGCTAAATGCAGACTCAGATGAAGCCATTGTAGGTAATGGAATGGCAAACACGTCCCTTGCAAGGCCCGACAAAATTCGATACCTTGTAGAGTGTGCTTTCCACCAATGCAGCATGTCGAACTTGTCATTTGCTGGATCCTCGCAAGGGTCCAACAAATACTTATCCACCTCGTTTCTTGGAAGTAAACCTTTCTTTTCTTTGAACTCCAGAAACTTATTTATCCATTCATCGTGACACCGATCATCATCGTTAGAAGCTTCGGGGCAACCAGGGGTGGAATCCGATGCACTATAAACCTCGTAAAGACGAAACAACAGCTCTTTGAACCCTTTCACCATCTCTTCAACCGTGGAATCGTCATATATCTCACTAAAACAAAATGACACATAATCCAGCTTAAACCGCGGATCAAGCACAACTGAAACAATCAACAGCTTGTTGCTGTCAAGAGAACCCCAATATTTGTCATATTTTCTCTTGATACTAGCCGCCATTTTTCCCAAAACTGAATCTTGATTTCGGCTCAATGTTGTCAACTTCGATTGAATTGAACACATGGTATTGAAATACACATTCGAAGTGACACACGAAGCGCTAAACTTCAAGGTCGCATCATAAAAGACCTTCAAAGTATAACAAAAACCCGAACATTTTCCCAATCATCGACAGTAGGTGGCCCTTTCAATTTTACCCTACTGATCCAATCCTCCAAGAAATAGCTAGCATAATCTTCATCATCTTCTTCTAGCCTCTCAGAGGCCCTTTGGAACTTTAAGGGGTCTCTCAACATCAAATAGGTTGTATTCCACCCAGTATGATCATCCGAAACCATTAGACCTTCACACTCAATTTCTTCCTGCTCAATAAATGCTGTAAATTTCGATAATCCTTCGGGAAAAATCTTTACATATCTCACAGCATTGCGAATACTATCGATTGATTCATGCATATCTCTCAAGCTCTCGTTCACAATCGAATTCACAATACGTGTATAGCACGGTATGTGTAAAAATTCACCATCTAAAAAATTCCCAGCCAAAATTTTCAACTTCGTTTTCATAAAGTTGATAGCCGCATCATTTGCACTCACATTATCAACAGAAACCGTCAACACTCTTTCTAAACCCCATTCAACTAAACACGCTGCGATGAGTTCTCCAACCGTCTCCTCATTCACATCACGTACAACGCGAAAGTTCAATATTTTCTTATGCAGCTCCCAGTTACTATCAATAAAATGGACCTTCAGAGCCATGTGGTTTATATAAAGCCATATTCGTGACAAACCAAAAAGTGAAATGATTGCTCTTTTTGAAAACATCGTACAACAATAATTACACTACTATTGCCCTTTTGAAAACATCACATAACAACAATCACACTACTGTTCTCAAGTCTTCTTCGTTTAAAGCATGTGGGCATTCATTCTCACAATTTTACGATAATTTTATTATTTTATTATTTTTATTAAATAGTAAACTTTAGAATTGGTCCCTAAGTTATCACCTAGTTTACAATTGATTCTTGAACAAAAATTCATTACTTTTGGTTTCTTGAATTTAACAACACGTGCACCGTTGATTGCCTACCGTTATTTATCGTAAAAATTATGTTAGTATGTTTTCAATATGTGTTGGGAGATCAAATCTAAATCAAGATGAAATTCCAAGAACCAAATCTAAACTATAGTGAAAGTTTACATATCAATTGTGGCTCCTATGTTCCACGCCATAATCAAATTGATGAAAAACATTTCAGATTGACCAATAATGCACGTTTTGTTAAGTTCAGAATTCTAATTAACACTAAATCCAAGCTAAAATAAAAGTTTAAGGATCAATTTTAAATTTTACACTTCGAAAATTGACATTTTACTACATATTTGTTACATTATTGGCCCTTTCAACTCATTGAAATACGAAGTTAAGGGCTACTTTTATATATGATACTAATTACTTCATTCTTACTTATATAAAGGACAAAATGCGTATGTGTTGTCCATATATTATTTGTGTATGTATTTGTTATCAATATGGCTATGTACGTAACAAATTGAGGGTCAACAGTGTAAAATTCATACTTTCATGTGAATATAATAATATATCATTGTCTTGAAATAAATTTAAAAAGAAAGAGAGAAACAACTGACAAGTCATCCTACAAAAAATAAAGGGAATTTTTTTTTAATTATAATTAAAAGGAATCATTTGGTGGGTTCATCACGATGTTATATATTTCTAGGAGTTGGAAAAATCCACAGAGGCATTTCAAACCTCCTGACCGCCACCATGTGATTCACTCGAGCCAAAAACTAAACCCAAAATGTGTTGTGTGGAATAAGGACGAGAAACCACCAGATTGGGCCACCCCGCGGTGGTTATTAAATAGGGAGAATTTGCCTAATGTAAGGTGAAGTAGAAGAAATAGAAGAAAAGATGATGAATTTGACCAAATTCATGAGTGCATATATCACAGTAATAACTAGTAACCTTCTCTTGAACACAATATAACAACATTGAGACACACCCAGAAACAAGATACAACAGAAAGTACAAAGGTTTAAGGATAATTGTTCCAAATTCCCTTGATCCATGATTCGATCTGAAGTATTCAGGTCAAGTTATCCAACTCCAAACTCACTCTCCACTGCCAATGCACACCAGAAATCTTTCACCACTTCCAAGCTCCCAAGATCCATGATTCGATCTGAAGTTGAAAACTTCAGAAACCATGGAAAGTGTGAGAAGAAATCCATAAACTCTACCCTGACCAAATGTAAAAGCAATAGGTTAATAAGAAAGAGCTACAACGAAGTTGAATTGTTACCTGACTGGATTTCTTTGTAAAATATCGCGTCCTCAATTAATACTTCATCATCATCTACCAAGACAGTAGAAGATGGTGGGCTCCGTAGCCAATTTTGTGAGCACATCAAGGCCTGCACAAAGTTAGGAGTACAAGCTCCAATGCTGATTTAGAACACACCGTCTTCTGCTAAATACAGCCTCAGATGAAGCCATTGTAGATACTGGGATAGCAAACACATCCCTTGCAATACGCGATAGTATTTGATACTTAGTAGAGTTTACTTTCCACCAATGCTGCATATCAAACTTGTCGTCTGCTGGATTCTCAAAAGTGTCCGACAAATACCTATCCACCTCATTTCTTAGGAGTAAACCTTTCTTTTCTTTGAACTCTAGAAATTTACTTATCCGTTCGTAATGACATTGATCATCATTAGAAGCTTCGGTGCAACTAGGGGTGGAATCCGATGCACTATAAACCTCGTAAAGACGAAACAAAAGCTCTTTGACACCTTTCTCCATCTCTTCAACCATGGAATCATCATATATCTCACCAAAACAAAATGCCACATAATCCAACTTAAAGCATGGATCAAGCACAACTGAAACAATCAACAGCTTCTTGTCATCAAGAGAACCCCAATATTTGTCACATGCTTTAAATTTCAATAATCCTTTGGGAGAAGACTTTACATATCTCACAGCATTGCGAATACTATCCATTGATTCATGCACATCTATCAAGCTCTCCTTCACAATCAAATTCACAACATGTGTATAGCATCGCATGTGTAAACATTCACCATCTAACAAATTCCCAGTAAAATTTTTCAGTTTTATTTTTATAGAGTACATAGCCGCATCATTCGCATTATCAATAGAAACTGTCAACACTCTTTCTATACCCCAATCAACTAAACACGACGCAATGATTTCTCCAACTGTCTCCTCATTATCATCAGGTATTGGCAAAAGTTCAACATTTTCCTACGAAGCTTCCAATCACTATCAATAAAATGGACCTTCAGAGCCATGTCGTCGATTTGTTGCATAGAAGTCCATGTTTTGGTGGTAAGGCAGACCCTCTGCGAATTTTCAATCAACAAGCTTTTCAGTTGCTTCTTCTGATCCAAATAAAGCTGGTATGCATCTCGAGTAAGTGCTACTGGAGATGGGACATCAAACTCAGGACGAAGTGATTTCATAAAAACTTGAGCCCCTTGTCTTTCTAAAAAGCTAAAAGGCAAATCGTCGATAATTATCATCTCAGTGCATGCTCTGATATATTCTGCTTCACTTAACCACCCTTCCAAAGAATTCTCACCAGAACAACTAGGAACTTGCCCTAAGAGTCCCTTATTTTAGCTTACAAAAGGGGCACATTGTAACTGCTAAGTATCCACAACATAGTTCCCCGTTGTTAGAATCCCTACCTATATAACGGACTTAGTGATGCTAGCCTTCCGGGGTTCTTCAACTATTCCTAATCTAAATAACAGAAAAAGAAGTTTACTCAGCTACAAATCTCAACGCACACACAAATATGTAGGCTTGTTAAATGATAATATGAACTACTCGCAACCGGCCTATATCTATACAACAACAACAAAACCTTATTATTCCACTAAGTTGGGTCCGCAACGGGCCTATATCTATATGACAGAAATTTCCCAAGGCATTAATCTTGGGATCAATATACATGTCAATGATGTCATCACTATTTTCTGGTAATTTTCAACTTATATGCCACAGATAGACTTGCAATTCTAAGAAATGGAAAGCTGCAAATACCCATTACCCAGTTTCCAGATTTATGGTTTATCACTCACACCCCTAACAAAAAAATACAAACTAAAAATTAAAAATAAAAATTCTCCATTTGGGCATGTACAAAAATCGTCAAACATGCTTGGTGACAAAAAAGAATTATGCTTTTCATTACACATAAATAAAGTTACAGTGAGTTGGGGCATTAAATCTTCCAAAGTTTCTAACTTTCAGATCTATACAAGTAGTGACGATAAAAATAATAATAATAATTATGGTAGCCGGTAGGCCCTGCAAGGTGCCGGAGAAAGTTTCGAGCTTTTGAGCTGAGAGAACCAAAGGGGCGGGGAGAGCGGGGTTTCAGTCTGCTAAAGGGCTTAGCTTTTATCCACGAACGGATGCTTTTATACATCTACACGGCCTAGTATCACGTGGTGTATCACTCAATATTTTGAAAAAAAATATATTCTAAAATTATGCTCAAGAAATGCCAGTGAGCAGTAGATTCAAGATTTGAACTTTGGATCTTAGTATTAAAGGTTCAAATATTTTTTTCATAAAAACAGAACGCTAAGGGCATAAAAAAAATTAAGTTTATTCACCGAAACATTTCTTTGAACAGTTGATGAGTTCGTTGTCATCAACCGAACTAAATTGCACACATGTCAAAAGATATTGATATATGTTGAAATAATATTATGAGTGTTATTGAGAAAATTTATCAAGTGATGCAACCTTTGATACATCAATTTTTGGTGGGCATAAAAATAACTCATATCAAACATTTTAGAGATTAAAAATATCAATTTAGTTTCAGGAGAGTAAAGTGTGAAAAAAGATAAATTCAGAGACAAACAATAAAGAACTAAAAAATTAATAACTAATAAAGTGAATATGGCCAAAGCAACATAAGTAATAAATAAAATTACGAAAATTAAACGAAAAATTATATTGTACAACTAAAAGTCAATCCAGTACTATTTACTTACGTCTTTGACCACTTGTCATCCAAAACTTTTTATTAGTTCCCTGCAAACATAAAGTCCAGTCCAATCGAAGTCGAATAAATAAGGTTACTTCAGTCCTTTGACTATTGATCATCGAATTTCCATGGCGACTCACCTCCTACTCCTACTCCGGTAATCCCTCTCTCTCTCTCTCTCTCTCTCACTCATCCGATCCGATCGATCGAATTTGTACGGGAATCTGACTGTAATTTGTGAATGGTTGATAGTTTCTGGAGGTGAAATGTCAGAGTTCAGGGATGACACGGCGGTTCGCGATGGGGACGGAAGCAGGATTCGCGGTCTCACTCATAAACAAGAAATTGGGTGCGGGTGACCCACTTGCTCTGCACATTGAAGCCGTCAAAGAAGGTGAGGAGCCCATCAGTTTCGGCCCCAGCTCCGCCCTCGTCGATTACGGCGGTGGCTGGCGGTTACAGACCGTTACCCAGCTGGATTCACCTGGTAACTCACTCCCTTCTCTTCAATCACTCAATTCCAAGTTCTTTACTTTTTGTGTTTTCGAGAAAATTGGAGCATTGGTTCCTGAACTATGACCGAATTGTAGCTTTCGTCAATGAAGTGCACTTGACCCTTTTAACTTTAGGATAATTGGAGCGTTGGTTCCTGAACTATGACCTAATTGTAGCTTTCGTCTTTCATATTCTGAATTGAAATCCACAAAAACCGGTGTAGGAATCTGATTCTAACTTGTCTTTGAATTGGAAGTCAATTAAAATCGGTATAGGTATCTGAACTTAACGAAATGTGTAGCATTAGTGGTTCATGCCAACTTTGTAAGAATTTTTGTAAATGAAGTGCACATGAGCCTCTTTCAAGAAGTAAATCGGGAACTGCACCGAGGGCCAACTTTGACAGAAATTCTCGCGAGTTGGCGTGAAGGACCAATGCTCCGCATTTTGTCAAATTTAAAAATTGGATGTTTAATTCAGCGCCAAAGCTACAATACAATACCAATGCTTCTATTTACACTTTATTTTAGTTCATTTTTTGGGTATTTGTTAAAAATGATTAAATTGTGGGTTGTAATGATTTTTTTTATCTTTGCTCGAGTACAGGGTTTGGAGGTGGAGAAGGGGTTGTGAGGCCAATGGCAATGCCAGTTCCCGATGTAACGGTATGATCTTATTCATCTCTTTCTGTATGTTAACTGTTAAGTGAATAAGAATTCTGTTTGGCGTTTATTGTATAGATGAGTTCAGACTGCACATTTGTTTACAGTGATTATGAAAGGAAAGATTCAACCTTTTTTTGTATATACAAGCGATATTATACTTTAAATTCAAACTCAGGTGCACAGGGAGCCAATAGGGCTATGCCCACGTCTGCAAAAAAAATCAAACTTTAATAATACGAATTCAGGTTGTTAATTAACAAGTCAGTGGCTTGATTGGATGACCTTGTGGAACGTTCTAGGTTATAAATAGATTTTTGGAAGAAAAATGGGTCTAAAACCAAGACTAGATATATACTTTAGATAGTATCCACGGTCTGGAAGCTCAGTTTCTTGGGCTCATTAGGAAGGAAAACATTAGAGTGTGCATTGAAGCAGCTTGGTGATAGTCTTGACTCTTGAGCTTAAGCCCAGTACGTTGTTGTGTAAAGAGATGGAAATAATAAAAGAAAGGATTAGTCTATACCTTAGATTTCTAGGCCATGTCTCGGATAGCAAGGGTTTTGATGGGAGGTGGAATTGTGGATTAAAGGTTGTTTAAGTTCAGTAAACTATTCAGTTATTTTAGATGGGAGGATGATGGTGAGGCAGGGTGATCCGTCGTGGTCGTTTCTTTTAAGTTGTAGTCTTGAAAATATGTTCATATGCACTTTTAACCAACCAGTATTCATACTTCATAGGGGTGAAGTTTTTGTCTGAAATGATTAAGTAATCTACATTTGTGCACATGTAAAAATTTAAAATACCTTATTTGTAATGTGAGGAATGAAAACTTGCACTTGTGATAGTTACGTTTTCTTTTTCATCTAAACTAAAGTTTTTGTTTCGCGAAAAGAAATGTACGATCTTAAATGATTTTTAAAAGGGTATATTTGATGACATACAATCAAATAAGCGATTAAGGGTAGCGTTCTGCCATTTCTAAGTTGAACGTTCTCTTTATCAATTGTTGACCTTTTGGCTTGTATTAATATATGTTTATGATTTTCTGTAGCGTTCTGCCAAGTTACATGTTCCAAAGAGGGTGTTGAAACCAGCAATCAGTTTTACGTACATTGGAAAAATAGTATTAGCTTTCGTTTTGATTTTTGTACTTGGTGCAATTTTCACGTTGGCTCTCGAGAACCTTCCTGGAATGATTTCTTTTATCAGTTCATATATGTAATTCTTTTTATTATCCTCTGAGCAATGTTAAAGATTATTAACTTATCTCAATCATTTTGTATCAAAGAAATGAGAAATGAAAAAGAATAAGAAAAAATACTTTCCGATATGTATTGTCTCCAACATAATGTATGATGTGGCGCAAATAATTTTCTCTACACTTACCGCATGGCAGAGCCGAAAGGTTAGCTGAATTACTGAACATAAGTGTTTGTTTTGGTAAGTAGCAAACCGAGAAGATATCCTGGGGTTTCAGACTCCATATACCGAACTTTTAGAACCACATTCTACCCAGAACCAACCCTAAACCTTGAACCAGACATGTGTTCGGCTGTTCTACTGCATGTGTAGGCTGAGTAACATAACATTCAGGTGGTTGCGGGCCAAACTTTCGCAGTTAACTTCATCAATCAGCTGCTGAATACTGAAACTTTATCGAAAATGTATTTTGCAGCTACAACATGATGCATCTACAACAAGCAGTGGTGTTGCAATAGATAGCCTTTTGGACACCACAAGTGAATTCATCACTGATGAGGTAAAAGTTCTGTTTTGTTGTAACTTATTGGTGGTGTATGGTTGATTAGAACAAATATACATACTTTTGGCAGGTATTCAAGAGTCGAGAAGAATTGGTCAATTGGATTCGTGTACAAGGACGGAGTTGTGGTGTGGGGGTGGTCATCAAGAGGTCAGATGCTGCTGGAAAAAATAGATTACGACGAGCTAGAATTAATCTTTGCTGTGAGCATAGTGGATACTATACTAAGAAGTCTAATCGTAGATTCAGATGGCCAACAAGCGATGAGCTTCAGTGCAGATATAGATCATCGGAAGAGAAAGCGCCCTAAGGCCACAGGTACGAAAAAGTGTGGTTGCCCGTTTTTATTGAAAGGTGTAAACGTTGGTCCCGGAGATGAGTGGAAACTTGAGGTTGTATGTGGGGTGCATAACCATCCTTTCAGAGGAGGGTGTCTTGATGGGCAGTCGTATGTAGGTACAGAAGAATATGTTGAATTTGAATGAGCTTAGCCAGATCAAATAAAACCCCTTTCGTTGCATCTTATTCACTGCTTAATTTGTCGTGGATGAGTTATATATCCGACTGAAGAAATATCTTAAAAATGGGAATTGCGGATGTGCTCTCTCCATGCACCTAAGTTCGAAATCCTCCTCTTTGCATGAGTTATATTCTTATCGAACCTATCGGACAACCTAGCCAAATGTATCAGAGTTCCAATGAGCTTGAACAATCCGAATATGAGCCAATATTTGGGTCCGACTTTTCATTAAATCCGACCTTAGGTGCATGGAGGGAGCACATCCGGTCTGAAAACGAAACAATGTATGGCATTGTGCAAGGAAAGAACATTTACAGACAGCAGATTAAACACTGAACATAGAGTACAATAACCATTTCCAGTATTATGGATGGACGGTTATGGCGGGCGGGTAACCGTAATTATTTACCAATAACCGTTTAAGCCTTTACCTGCTGGATAATTGTATAAATAGATATACTCATACCCATAACCGTTTATTAACGGTTAACTGTACCTAGTTAACCGTTTAGCAACATTGGTAGGGGTAGCATTGGCTTAATCTCCATGCATAAGAAAAACGATGGATGGATGTGTGCGGTAAACGTCGAGCCTTCTAAGCCACAGTGGTTGAAGCACCATGTCATGTGAAATATGTCTCTACGATTTCTGGTACTCTCTTTCGGTTGGGTGGAATTTGTATCGAAAACTTGCTCGAATCGAGAACAGAGAGAAGAGGTAATGTATTCGAGCCTCTGTCCTAAGGAAGGAGAGTGGAAACTTTCATTATTGCACATTATTTACATTGCACGAACACGTCCAGCATCAAGAAGACAATAAGCTATTATACAATGGACTGATTTCAGTCCTTGCTATAACAAGATTACCAACAATACATAATCGGAGTCAAAAGCACGCAGTAGAGGACACTTCACGATCGCCAGATGACATAGTACACGATATAATGGACCAAGTTCGTTCTTGCATTTCCTGTACAACTTCCATTTCCTGTACAAACTTACGCTACATAAGTTTCTGAGCTCCGAAAGATCTCATCAGCGTGAGCTACTGGCACGTAAACTGCATCCTCCAATGAGCTGTGTGATCGGCCATAAAATACGTAAACCACCACTCCTATTAGCAGCCATACAGCAACACGCGCCCAGGTGTCCGCTCTGAAAACAAAACAATATACCAACAATTTTAAAGGAAAGAATATTTACAGACGACGGATTAGCCACAGTGCATTCAGCAGAAATCAATTCTGATAATATTGAAAGTGCTTTCCCGGTGAACACACAATACGAATTATCTCAATTCTGATAATATTATGCGACCAGAGTACAAGAACCATTTCTGGTATGTAGGATTTCCCTTTGATACAAAAAGTACAAAAATAATTTTTTTTTTTTTTTTTAAATGTGAAAAGCCATGAGAAACAAAAAGGACAACGTAATTAACACTAAAATGGAACGGACTATTTAATTGGATAGTTACCCAAGATTTATCAGTAGGTAGACGTTGATGAGAATACAGATGATAGGTAGCAATGGGACAAATGGGCATAAGAAACCTGAAAGGAAACCAATAAATCATTGTTATTAAATAGTCAAATAGTACTTTCCTCAATGAACAATAACCTAACCATGTAATCCAACGCAACTAAACACGAGATGAAGAAATTGTTGAGTTTCTTTATTATCGGTCTTTATATTCTAATCACGGCAAATGAAAACACGTTTTAATTATTAGCTAGCTAAGCCTACAGTAACCAAATTAGAGAACCAGCCTCATGGGCTACTCTTTCGAGGAAAAGCTGACCACATCGACTACAGCTGATATCTATACGTATGTGTTTGTGTGTACTAGTAATATACACTTTACAAGTTCACTATTTACAGCTTGCGGACAAGGTTGCATTTTCAGTGATATTTGTAAAATAGTGAGCATACCTCCTGTGTGCCCAAAGGTGTGTCGTGCATCATCTTGATCAATACATGTGAGTACAATCAGACCTAACAAAAGAAGAATACCGCCACCTCCACAAAATGTATAGCGAAGAAAGCTGAAATTGAAACCAAGAATATTTTTGTTGAATTAATGAATAGAGAATTAAACTATATACCAAGAGAAAGTAAAACATAAAGTATATTGACATAAATAAAAAAATCATAACCAAAACCATAAATCTTGGCATATCAATTTTAGAATCTAGATTTTGTTTTTGCGGCTAAAAATGAATCAAATGCAGCCAGAAAAAAATATCATTCTCAGAATTAAGTCTAGGACTGAAATTCACCCACCTGGGAATGGCCAAATCTGAAGCTGAATATGTCAGGAGAAGCACGCCGACACATGTGAACATTATGGTCCAGCCAGCAATTTTACGCCTTTTAGCTTCACTTAGTGTGTCTGTAATAATTAACACAGCAAAAACATATTTCAGAATCAGCCACATAACAGAAAAGTAGAGCAGAAACTATGCAGAATATAAGGTTGTTTCTGACACAAATATAAAGACACATATATCCCATTGTCATACATACTTTATAGACATGCATAGATACAAGGAAATATTCTCTTGCCCGACTGAGAATGTAGACTATTTATAAGGTTGTTTCTCGATTATGGCAACATAACTACGATAATAGGACATTTAGGTGTATGTGTGTGTGCTCGTGTGGTTCTGTATGACCCTTCTACTGTTGCAGTATCTATATATAATGAAGTGAGAATACAAGACTATAAGGAACTTACAGTTAATAAGAGGCAGTTGCTTTTTTATCAGAGGAAGTTCAACCGTGATATTCACTTCCTCGAGTAGAGGTTTGGTAACACTAGTCTTAGGATCTTCAACATTGATCTCTTGAGAATTCCTTCCATGTCGTAACCACACTGAATCTATTGACTCCCGAAGAGATGAAGGCATAGGCACCTCATCTGGCGGAACATATCTGAGTATCAGTACAGATATTGCTACCATAGTGAATGCAACAAGTGTACCCACACTAACCTGCACAACATAGGTACTATCTAAGTCAGTCTCCACATTTACATTCACTATCACAGAAAAAGGTCGATGTCAACTTAAATAAGGGTTAACACATGGATTTCCATCTTAAGTTGAATTCCTTGAGTCATTATCATGAACCACAAAATAAAATCCTCAACGGTATCAGAATTTGTTAGAGGATATAAATATTATCAAGGATCAATTATTGTGAAAATAAAAGAAAAAACTTCAAGGCTAGTTCACATGCGGTGGGAATCCCCCTTATAAAGCAAATGTCTGGTAAACCACAATTATAGCATTACAGTAAGAATACTCGCATGTCCTTTAGCATAACAAAGAGTAAATAAGTTATACAACTTATCAACAACAAAGCCAGACCTTTCCATGAAGGTCAACTTACCATTCCTGCCAACTGTGAAACATCCATGAAGAAGGCCAAGACTGCACAACAAATCCCAGTTGCTATTGTACTCTTGACAGGAACCTGAGTTTTTTTACTAATATCTGCAAAAAATGGTGGCAGCAATCCATCTCTAGACATGGCCATCAGGATTCGTGGCTAAGAAACACAAGAAAATATCTTAATCAGTGTTACAGTACAGGTGTGGTGGGGGATTCACGGACAATAAACAAGCTGACACAGCCTGAGACAATACACGATGCATCTCGAAAAGTAGGAGATAAATGGAATATTAAAAAAGATCAAATAATACCTGAGGAAGAATAGAGCCCATCAATGTTGAGCAGAGAGCAGTAACAGCTCCAACAGTTATCACATACCTTCAAAACATAAGCAGGAAATTTAACTTAGTTGCCCAAAGACGAAAAGGCAATCCCCACAATATTTATTCACTTACGCTGCCCATTGCATCCCATGACTAGCAAATGCACTGGAAATTGGTGTATCAGGATCCATTGCATAATAAGGCACTAAACCAACAATGACCATCGAAACCAACATGTACAACGCACAGCAAATAGATAGTGCAGCACCAATACCAAGTGGCAAATCTCGTTGAGGATTCTTCACCTTTTGAAAAACATGAAGGCATAATTCAGATTCTACACAAGTTAAAACATTTCCACAAAACTTGTAAGATTGATATTTTGGATGACATAACAAGAACCTGTTTACCTCTTCAGCAGTGCTGGCAACTGAATCAAAACCAATGTACGCAAAGAAGACAGTTGCAGACCCAGCAAGCATACCATTCACCCCAAAGGGAAAGTACCTTTTACATGAATAAATTGGAAGGAAACTCAAAATTTATTTTTGAAAACTACATGAGTTGATATAGGAATAGGGATGAAAAATACCCTGTAGGAAGTTCATATCCAGTCCAGCCAGACTTGAAACCCAAATAAGTACCAGCTACTACAACAAATATCATTGCACATACATTCGCTATCGTCACAATGCCTTGTGCTACTGTACTCTGCATAAATGGAGTGTTCCATTAAAGAAAAAAAAAGAGAGAATATTAATGAAACAGAAGAAATAATTACGTTTGCCAAGTTTAAGGATTGATCTGATACACAAAAGAAAACAAACGAGATATATGCATACCTCCTTGATTCCCACACACAAGAGCCCTGTAACAATAAATACTAGAATTGCTGCACATGGGTCAACCACAAGACCTAGTGCAGGAATATGCTGCCGGGCTATAATAGCAGGCAGACTGTCCTCTCCTCCAAAAAGCAATGCCTTCAGAAAGAAAAACAAACCCATTTAAGGTTAGATGTCCCAACTTCTCTTAAGAGATTGTCAGAGTATGCAGGAAGATCTTTTTTTATTCGAGCAGACATTATAATCTTTCTTGCAGAATACATAAGTAGATATTTTTAAAAACTGTACCAAATTAGGTGATATGCCCCGAGCAACAGCTGAGCCACCAATTGTATATTCTAGAATCAAAGCCCAACCAACTAACCAAGCGACACTGCAAACAATGATAGTTTTAATATCACTAACTGACGTACAAGAAAATTTTCAATGTAATTAGTTTGGTACAACTGTGCAAGCATGTATTTTGAATAAGCATGATAACGTAACTCTCCCTTTTCTTTTCCAATTGCTATGCTCAACACTTTAATGACAAAGAAGGAATGAGAAATTACCCTTCTCCAATGCATATATATGTATAGTGATAGGCACTCCCTGCAGAAGGGCACCGACTTGCAAGTTCAGCATAACAAAATGCAGAAAGGGCTGCCGCAATTCCAGCTATTAGAAAGGAAATTGCTAGTGCTGGTCCAGAATGCTCTCTAGCAACTGTTCCAACAAGAATATAGACTCCTGCTCCAATCGTTGAGCCAACCCCTAATCAAAGTGCATGATAACCTACGGTTAATTATATGAGAAAGACAAAATAATTCATGATAAAAAAACAGAAGTAGCCTGTTTCATTATTTCAGTACCGAAATGTGCTGTATGTAGAAAATAAGAAACCATCAGGTAGAAACTAGTAAGAATATTAATCGACAATATTATTATGCAAAGGGTTAGTAGTAAGTAATTCTTCAATGACGGGTGCACAGCTACAAGGAGAATCTTACATACCATAAACCTGAAATTTAAAGTGAGGCACCGAACACACGAAGATAAAATCTCAACAGATTATATGCCTGATTAGAAATGCTTATGAATTGGCTAAATGTGTATTCTAACAACCAAAAGCGTTTTTTACTATAATTGATAAAAATAAAATTAAAAAATTAAAAGCTCTTCTAGGTCCTAAAAGTGCATTATGAAGCAGTACATGTTGGCCTCGCAAGTGCTTTTAAACGACTAAAAGCGCTTTTAAATAAAATGATTTTGGAACCAAACCTTAGTTAAAATGCAAATTAATTTTGGAAAACACTTGAACTGCTTCTAGCAAGAAGCACATAAAGCACTTCTAGGTCCTAAAACTGCTTTTCCATGAAGCACTTGTATTTTTAATAAAAATTTCTACAAGTTAATATGAAATAATACTTCTAGCAGAGGCACTTAAGACCATAAGTATTTCCTACAAAAGCAATCTCAAACATGCCCTATGTAGATAAAAAGCCATAAAGTTGAGAGGAAATTATGTAACTGCAAGATGAAAATTCAGACAAAATTACATGAATATAGCAGACAACCGAATATTCCATCAGCATCATCATCTCATCTAAAATTACAAAACAGATATCAAAATATATGACTGAAAAAATATAAGAGGGGGAAAGCAACAAGCTTTTACCAATTGCAACAAGATGGGGAACAGTCAACTCCTTGGCCAATTGATGACCCCCTGACTTCACATGAACAGAATCCACCTGTTTCCGCCTTATCAAACTATGCCGGCCGCCCCATGAACCGCCGTTTCTTCCACTTCCTCCGCCGCCCCCTTCCCCTTTTGAATCAACCAATAAACCCATCAAACAAACACCACAAAAAACCCAACTTCCTCCCAGAAAGCTCCAAACTTTGATCCTCCCACACTGATTTTTCAAATTTTCCCTGTCCAAACCAAAGATTACGAGCTGGGTTTTTCTGTTTCGATTGGTATTTCGATCCTAAAGGGTTAATTCTACAGTTTAATCTGAAAATTTGAGGAAAAAAATTGAAAATTTATGTACAGTAAAATTCAACCTGCCAGCACACTCCCAGATGCATAATATATGATACAGATTTCTGAAAGCCTTGCACCGAAAGGGAAGCTGGCAGATTAAGGAAAGAAAGGGAGGATTTCTTCCCTTTTTATTTCTCCTTGGGTGTGTTGGTCTGTTTGTTGATGATATCACAAAAGTTGCTGTTTTTTTCTAATTTTATATTTCTTTTTTTGGTTAGCATAGGGGATTGAATCGGTCCAAATAAACAGGAATTTGGGTATTCATTCATTCTTGGTCCTACAATCCTATTGGATATGAAAGAGGTGGATTAATGTGTGCAGGGCACACGTATTCTATTTGGAGAGCGATTTTATTTTTCTTTGAGGATTTATTAGGAAAAATTACACGTAAAGTATACTTTTAATATTTAATCTCTACTAATTTATAAAATATTTTTTGTCAATTAAAATTTTAAGAAATTATTAGTTTAACATTCTAATTAAAACAGAACATGAATAAAAAATATGAAACAGAAATGTAATTTCACACAACTAAATTTTACATTTTTTTTTAAGTCTTACCTACGTATGATCCTAACATATCTCTAATTATAAAAAATAAAAAATAAAAATTTATCACTCCCACTGTCCCACATCCTTTATCTCTCCCTTCCTCTCTCCTTCTATTTTAAAAACAAAAATAATAAAAAAATTCACACACTTTGTGTGTGCTCATATGTTAGTTTCAGGTCTTTTAAGGGAAGGGATCTTTATTCCCTATTGATCATTAGATTTGACTTTAATGAAATTCTATGACTGAAATTAAATCACATGACACAAAATTTCAACCACAGAATTTCATTAAAACCAAATCTAACGGTTAAAAAAATATCCTCATTTTTTTTTAAATAAGTATCTCTTCTCTTAAAGGCTTCTTGTTAGTTTTAAATTAAGATAACACTTTGTAATTATTTCAAAGAGGAACAACTTTTTTTACACATATTTGATGACATCATGAATATTATTTCAACTAACGAAATCACCCCTCCAGGCCGGCTGCACTTTACTTTCATGCTTACCACGTGGAATCACTCATATTCCAAAAAGTAAGCAGCCATTTACTATATCACATTTTTCATCTCCCTTATTGGTGTCAATCCTTCAATCATTGCTCTTCAAAATTCAAAATTTTCAAACGCAAACACCTCTTTAACCTGCCCACCCAAACCGAAAACTAATTGTGTTGGGTGAGTCGAAGTAACAAATTGTTCACTCGGTGATGGATTGGTCGAATGATGACTCGAGCATAATTTATCGGCTTACGGGTTGCTTTTAAACAGGCCAACCCACCCAATGCTCAGTCCTAGTAGAGATGAGGGAAGTGAACCATGCTTGGAGAAAAACAATTTTGATGAAGAATCGTATGTGTTTGATTTTTTATTTATTTTTATTTTGATGGAACATAGTTGGATTTCCAATACAAAAAGAGTTGGATTTCAAATAAAAAAAGAGTTGGATTTGTTAAGCGAGATTAAGCAGTAATGTTATTTTTACCATGTTTTTATACCACACCATTTTATGTAGCACTGATATGAATAGCTACATCATTTAAACTAATCATAATTTAATTTAAATTAAAAACATTTAATAAACCAATAATTAAAAAAAAACTGGAATTAAATAGTAATTGTAGCATACGAGGAGTCTTCTCCTTCCTTCTCCGTTCTTCTTCTCCCGTTTCTTCTTCCACACCAATTCTTTCACGCCATTTTTTTTCACCGTAGTTTTTTTTATGTTAGTGTAGACTACCACCCTCTCTTGTACTTTTGTACCCCACTTGTATTACAAACCATGTCATCATCAAGCTTCCAAGAACAACAAAAGCAAAGTATGATGAAACAGTCTTCTTTGTGAAAAATCGAGCCAAATAGAAACCAGCAACTGAAGGCAGCGGAATGAACTGCAACACAAAGGACAACCAATGATCATTGCTAGTTCAACATTCAAATTAGAGTTCAGAGGCACATCACAATGCAATAAACTCATGTATTCAACATTCCAATTACAAGCCTAATACACGTTCAGTTTGGATGATTTTGCCTACAAAATGGCGCAAAAGAACTGGCGTGGAAGAAGAAACGGAAGAAGAAGCAAGAAGGAAGGAGAAGACTCCATGCCACGATCATCATTTAATTCTAGTTTTTTTTTAATTACTAGTTTATTAAATGTTTTTATTTTAAATTAAATTCTGAATAATTTAAATGATGTGACTATCCACATCAGATGCCACATAAAGTAGTATATAAATGTGGTATAAAAACATGGTAAGAACATTTAATTCCAGCTTCTTCTTTTTTAATTATTAGCTTATTAAATGTTTTTAATTTAAATTAAATTCTGAATAATTTAAATGATGTGACTATCTACATCATATATCACATAAGGTGATATATAAATGTGGTATAAAAACATGGTAAGAATAACATTACTGGAGGTTAAGTGGAAGGCCAGTTGTCAAACTTGTTTACAAAAATATACAAAATTGGTTATACTTAAAAATTATACAAAACTGATTTAACATATATTTGAAACTAATTTTGCAAAAATAGTCGATAACAGGTTAGGTTAATGGCATGTATGTAGTTTTATTGAAAATATACAAACTAATTATACTAAAACTATACAAAAAAAATTCTACTAAAAAGTATACAAAACTGATTCTACATGAATTTGAAACTGATTCTGCAATAATAGTCAAAGATGAGTTGAGCTGATTCTACATAAAATGGTCGAAGACTGGTTGAACTGATTCTACAAAAAAAGGTCAAACGGGTTCAACTGATTCTGCAAAAAAAAAAAAGACCGAATAAGGGTTCAACTGATTCTGCAAAAAAAATGGGCAAACGAGTTAAACTGATTCTGTAAAAATAATCAAGGACGGGTTAAAGTGATTCTGCAAAAATGGTCGAGAATAGGTTTAAGGGATTCTACAAAAATGGTAGAGGACGGGGTTGCACTGATTCTACAAAAATGGTTGATGACAGTTTGAACTAATTCTGCAAAAATAATTGAAGACGAGTTGAAGTGATTCTGCAAAAATGATCGAGGAAGTGTTAAAGTAATTCTGCAAAAATGGTCAATGATGGGTTGAACTGATTCTGCAAGAATAGTCGAAAAATGGTTGAAGTGATTATGCAAAAATGGTCGAAGGCGGGTTGAATTAATTCTGCAAAAATGGTTGAAGACGGGTTAAACTGATTATGCAAAAACAGTCGAAGACTGGTTGAACTAATTTTGCAAAAATGGTCGATGACAGATTAAATCGATTCTGTAAAAATGGTCGAGGACGAGTTGAATTGATTCTAGTAATAAATTATACAAACTGATTCTACGTAGAGTTTCAAAATTGATTCTGCAAAAATAGTCAAGGATAGATTGAGCTTATGACACATGTTAATTTTGTTGGAGTTGTGAGGATTGATTTTTATTAATAGCCTTAAAGTCTTAGGGGTATGATTGATATTTTAAAACATTGTTTCCATGTTTTTGAGCTAAACTTTTGTTATTTTTATGTTTTTGTCTCTACTTAACATGTTTAAAAACTAGTTGAGTTATTTGAAATATAGTGAAAGTTTTTGTCTTTATATATAAAGCTCCCTAATTATTAACATATTTAAAAAATAACTATTGATATATTTTAAAATATAAAATAAATACATATAATTAGCACGGGTACATTTAGCAAAAATCGGTACAAATAAATTAAAAAATATGGGCACAAAAAAGAATTAATAAGCACTACATGGGGTAGGCATGTCGAACGTAACTAAGGTGTCACGCATGACAAAAAAAACACCACACAAATTTACAATGATAAACTCATCATAAATACAATACTATTCTCCAATCACCACGGAGACCCATATCTAACCAATGAAAATGAAAACAATTTTGCGAGTAGTAAAATCACTGTGACAACATTGCGAGGGCAGGATTACACCACCTCCAACAAATATCGAGCTTCCTTCTCATAGTCCCTTGTCACGCACACAAGCCAAAAAAAAACAAAAACAAAAACCAACCTTAACTATGAACAATAACGTTGCTTAAAGATCCAAGTTTGATCGGTAGGCATAGTTATCACAAAGGCTCTCCTCGAAAAAGCGAGAGCATCCACAATCACAAAAAACTCTTGCGAAAGAGTGACTACAAGTAGAAAAGAAACACGAAAAAAAATAAAAAGAAGAGACCAAGCGATATTAGCGTGACCCCAAGGCCAAGTGCTAGAGTCAGCAGATGAGGGTTTTAGGGATAGATCACATGCTTGAGAGTTAAAAGGAATGGAAGAGGATCCTCTTTGGATCCACTTTGTGGGGATCTTAGAGTTCCCCACATACTAGTCGTTTATCGTATATCGTGCAACCAATTTTCGTAATATATTATTTGTGTTTAATTTTAAATAAAAAAAAGTCAAATAATTTCTAATCGCACGATATACGATGAATTACTAAAATGTGGGATTCATATGATTCCCACAAAATGGATCTAGATAGGATCCAATGCCAAAAGGACTTACAAATAAGTGATAACTATTATAAAATCAGTTGTACTTATTCTTTTTGAACGGCTTCATGATGTTCTTCATGAATTTTTGTGGAAGATGATTTAGTTTTTGTGGACATAATTTAAAAGAGAAACGAATCTAAATATGCAAATTATCAAAACTTAATCATGGCATTACGATATGATCTATACTTTTCTCGAATGAGGGTTCTCTTTATAAGGATTATAGAATCTTTTAATTGTATTCGTTCATCGTATATAATGCTTCAGAAATTATTATAAATTTTTTATTTAAAATTGAATATAAACAATACTTGATTAAAACTAACTGCATAATGTACGATAAACAAATACGATAAAAAACTCTCAAAATTTTTACAAAGAGAATCTGGATAAGATCCTCGTTCCTTTTTTTCGACACAGATACAAAATTAACATGTCGATAGACGGGCCATCGAAACGTTGTCAAGCCCTTGATTTATCTTAAAAAAATAAGTTATGGGTACCCATAAGCAATCGATGCGTATGGGACTAAACTGTTGACAGTAATGTTTATTGACATTGAATGGTACACACAAGATTCAATTGAGATGGTGACAAAATTTCCACTCGCTCAACTTGTAAAATAAAGTAATGTATTGTATTAAATGTATAGTTCAAGTCAAGAAATGGGCAAATAGTAAATTGCAATCATCCCCCTTACGAAACTGACGTCGGCGCGTTTACTGGCAAAAATCTAACTCAAATAATTCATATTCTGATGGATGACTTAATATTAAATTAAAGAAAAACTTGTTGCTGTCGAGAAAAAGAGAAATAATAGTTCATCGTAATTTTACTTTAATTGGCATCGCTATCTATTATGATAAACTTAATAACTGACAGATTGGACATATGATAATTATCAAGTTGGAGTATTGGTGTGGTGGGTCGATAACCGTTACTTACCACTAATTGTTCATTTTTAAAAATAAAAAATAAAAAATTTCATACCTATTTTTACTTCCTACACATCTTTTTATTAATTTACATTTTTTATTTTTTTCTATTCATTCTATTCGAAAGTAAAAAATTAATATAAGTGTGTAGGAAATAAAAAATGATGCGTTTGATGGCACCAACCTTTCTTTTACTTGGTTCCTTGAACGCGGGTTTTTAGAGTCAAATAATAATTCGCAATCATGTCCCATACGAAGCTGACGTGGGCGCGTTTATTGGCAAAAAGCCAACTCAAATAATTCATCTTGTGATGGATGACTTAATATTAAATTAAAAGAATTACTTAGTATTACGGTTTAATAATACGTATTCTTTTTCATTTGTAAGTGAAAAATTTTATATTCGATTCTCGCTAATGGTAAATTTGAACCACATTATTGCTAGTCCATTATAAAACTTAGCCTACTCTCTCATATAAATACTATTGTTTCTTAAAAAAAAAAATTAAATTAAAGAAAAACTTGTTACAACTTAGCTTCTTTTTTTTCTTTGGGTGACGTTAACTACACACCTATTTTTACTTTCTATCCATTTTTATTAATTTACATATTTTGATTTTATTCGATTTGACGACTAAAAATTAATATAGATGTGTAGGAGATACACAACTTTTTATTAATTTACATCTTTTGATTTTCTTTTATTCATTCAATCTAACAACAAAAAATTAATATAAGTGTGGACGAGATAAAAAATGGTATGTTGATAACACCAACTTTTTATTTTACTTGTTCCTTGAACACCGGTTTTCAGAGTCAAATAATGTTTTCTTAGACAAAAAAAAAAAAAAAATGTATGAACATTGGTTAAGATAACCGGAAGAAACTGACGTCAACTTTCAAATTTTGTCCAAATTGAAGGCAGCAGTACTCGAGAAGAAGACGTATCCCTTCCACACCGCACGATAGGATATCAACACCTTATAACTAATCTATTTAATTCCGTCAACTCTGTCAAAACTAGAAGTTCTTCAACGTGGATATCCAATCAAATTCAATCTTAGGCACCAAACGCGACGAAACGGAACATATGCTCACCATGGTCCTATGGTTAAAGTAAAGAAAACAGAGCTTGGTTTTCTCTATCCTTCTCTTTCAAGGCTTACTTTGTATTGCAAAGAAACTGAAAGTAATTTGGGTTACTTACAATGAGATGAACATTCTGTTCAAAAGTTCCGACATAAAATTTACATGAGAAAAGTAAACACATGATAACAGAAACACATTTGTGACCGGCACCGGGGCGAGCGTGGTTCTCGCCCGGCAGACTAGGCCGCGTGGTCTGACGAGGAACGATAAATCTCATTAGCATAAGCTGAGGATACATAAACTGCATTGTAAAGTGAACTATGGCTTCGGCCGTAAAACAAGTATACCAATGCTCCTATGGCAAACCATACAGAGACGCGGATCCATGTGGCAGCTCTACGAGTATGAAACATGTTATCAGTTGTGAATATAGCATATTTCGAAAGTCATGGATCAATGTATTCAGATTCTGGTTTTGGATTTCGATATGAATTTGCTTATTTGCGTGTGTGTTGCGAGGGGAAGGGAGGACTCACCCGAGACCAATTAGTAAGTAGGTATTTATGAGAATGCAAGCAGCAGGCAAAAATGGAACAAATGGACAACTGAAACCTGCAGAGAGAAACAAACGGTTGTGGAGTCGTAAAAATGATTTGCTTCAACTTTCGAGGATGAAGTCCACTCCAAACACAAGCAGGAAACAAAGAGATGGAAATTCGAGAGAATCGAGGTTTCTAGATGAACCCATCAACATTGAGTAATGCCATCAATCTCAGCAATATTTATAGGATAGATATTAACCGTACCTCCAGTGTGTCCAAAGCTGTGCCTTGTATCATCTTGATCAATACAGGTCAGCACAATTAAGCAGCACAGCAGTAGAACGCCAGACACTCCGCACACTGTGAAGCGAAGAATGCTGGCACAGTAAACAAGTTGGCAACATTAAACTAAAATCTGATGGAATTGTTAGATATATATGTCTGAATCTCTGATCTCATCTCTTTCGACATATGATTTACAAAGACAAAACTGCATATGTTTCTAATGGAATATACCTAAATCTTAGACTACCTAGATAGATCTTAATAGGACGTTGTTCAAATTTTAATAGCTCCAGTATCATTTTATACAACCACAAGCCCAAAAATCTAAAAGCTGTTAGGGAACGGGCCAACAATGTCTATCAAGCAAACAAAAGCTTTGTCTTAAAAATTTAACAGCCTATCACGAGTTGAAATTCTAGTCAATGTACAAAAGGCCAGCCATTAATCAAACATCAACCTGCGTAAAATGTAATTTAAAACATGACAAACCTGGAAACGCCTTTAGCTGAAGCTGCAAATGCAAAGGTAAAAGTCCCTATACAGAGAAAGGCTATGGCCCAGGCCGCAATCTTCCGCCTTTTTTGTTCATTTCGATTGTCTGTATGATTATTTGTAGTCAAAAAGAGGAACATCATATAACAATTGTCTAGGGTAGAACCTTAGTCAATCCAAATTGTAAACATCTTCATTTAACATGGGATGTGGCCCTAGTGGCTAGTGGAACTATGACCATCCTAACTTCAAACAAAATTGACACGGTTTGGATGTTTTCTAAACTAGTTTTCTGTAATTTTAATTTCTTCAACCAGATTGTCATAGTTAGGTTTCGTTTACAATCAAGGTAAAATCAAAGAATCCGTCAATCAGTTAGACTGAAATATCACGCACCTCAGTTGCATGTGGGACATAAGGCAGGGACCTTTGGAAACCAAAACTAACTATAGTGAGCTCATTGAAAAAGTATTTCCTCTAACTGATTGACGGATTCTTGTAATTATCCTTGATTGTAAAGTTGTAAACAAAACTCAACTATAAGGACCAAATTGAAAAGAAGAAAAAAACACTAGAGAGATCTAATTGAAAAAAAAATACCCTAACCAGAGGGATTGGTCATTTCCCCTATTTTTAATCCTCCATGTTCAGTGAGATTCTGCTTATTCCAAAACACAAGCGTCATGAGTTCGGTACATTCAGTGCATAATCTGTTTTCCCATACTACAAATCACGTGAGCTACTATTACCTTGTGATAAGACTTTCTGAATCAGAGGATAGCCAAGTGATGCCTCCCCTATTTCACGTAAATATTGACTATCATCCTTAGAGGAGCCAGCAGGAAGTGGAAGGTTTTCTCTGTCACTTTCCTGAATAGTACGACCAGTTTGCAATGATGCTGACGTAATGGACTCTTTAAGTGCTGATGAAAGTGGCACTTCATCTGGTGGCACATATCGTAGTATCAAAACTGAAAGTGCAGCAGTTGTAAATGCAAATAGTGTACCAACGCTAACCTGTACCCACATAATATACACTTATGAGGATGAAAACGTGAAAACGACAAAGATTCATCTCCCTAGAGAATAATAAATTATAAATATGTGCTCAGCTTTTATCTCCAGTCAAAAAACTTTGGTTAACTTACCATCCCTGCCAATTGGGAAACATCCATAAAGAACGTCAGAACTGCAGGCAAAAATACCAGTTGTAACAGTGCTCTTCACAGGAACTTGGGTTTTTTTATTAATGTCTGAAAAGAATGATGGTAACAATCCATCTCTAGCCATTGCCATCAGGATCCGTGGCTGTAAAATTGAAATAAAACAAACCGAGAGATCTCGGATTACCAGGTGGAATAAACCTCTGATTCGTGATAATGCAGAGAACAAAGTGCCTCCAAATAAATGGAAATTCAGGTGAGGCAAGCTCCTAAATTTAAACCTGGCAACCTAAATACTTTTTAGATATAAGGAAGGGTGCCTTGTAGTCCTGTCTCAGTATGGGAATGCAAGCAAAAAGACTTTCAAACAGCAAATTATTTTGGCATTGACACAAAATCTTCAGGAAGATCTATATAAAACTGTCAGGAAAGTTCGATGGAACCAACCAATATATAACTGAAAAAGCAGTAGTAAATGTAAAAACTTCCTAAAAGTGCTGTCTGCATTAGTAAAACTCCACTATAAAGAGATTTATAACTATGCTAAATTAAAAAATAAGGTACTACTGACACACCTGAGCAAGAAGCGAACCCAACAAACTTGCAGAAAGAGCAGTAACTGCTCCCGTTGTTATAATATACCTGCAGTCCATACATATGAATCTTAAAACAAATACTTTTAAATGGAAGGCACTCAAAGTCCTAGTGAACGGAGTACCAGAAACAAGAAGAAAATATGCTTACACTGCCCATTCCACCCCATAGCTTGCAAATACTGAGGAAATGGGAGTATCTGGATCTAAGTCATAGTATGGTACTAAGCCGGTTATTACAAAAGATACAAACATGTACAAGATGCAACATATAAACAATGCTATTCCAATACCGAGGGGCAAATCTCGTTGAGGATTCCTCACCTGCCATAAAAAATATTCTCTTAAATTCTTGAAGAACAACACGACAATAACATTATATAAAAAATTTGACTTGACATCTGATACAGCAGAACGGCTTTGAACAAGAGATGTGCAAACCATTCATTATGAAATTTTGCTTGAATCCTTAACGGGTGAGTGCCCGCAACCAATAACTTTTATTGAAAACTGAAACTTACCAGCATACATAAGTGTTCATTAAGTGACTCATCTGGTCAATTTTGAGATTCTTTGCTAAATTTCCATGCTTGTACTATAGTAAAGTTTTATATTACCGATCATTTAATCCTCTGCCACATGGTGGTTTCTAAGTAGTAGCTGCCTTTTGTAGACACTTCCAGTTTGCCCAAAAGAAACCTTTGACAATCTAGTGATGCTTTTATTTACAACTAATCGTCCAAAAAATAAAAATAAACATTTCCAGCACAACCTAACTGCATATGAATATTTCCAGCAGGCTCCATATTCATCACATAACACAAATAAACTGCTACAAAATTTTTTTTACCTCCTCAACTGTGCTAGTAACTGAATCAAAACCAATGTAAGAAAAGAAGACCACAGCAGAACCAGCAAACATCCCGTTTATTCCAAAGGGAAAGTACCTAAAAAGTTAAAGTGCAATATGAGAAAGTAGTTTCATGAGATTAATCTATAAGAAAGTGAAGACAAAGCATTACCCGCTAGAAAGTTCATATCCAACCCATCCATTTTTTAAACCCAAATAGCCACCTGCTATCATGATGAATAGCATGACAGAAACATTTACTGACGTAACAATCATTTGTACCAATGAACTCTGAGAAATCAGGTCGTTCGCTTTAGTAAGAAATGCAAGGAAAATAAAATTTGAATGGATGAAAAAGATTACAATGATACTTTTGGGAAAAAGATTACCTCCTTTATCCCTGTGCACAAGAGAAAAGCGACAATAAGAACTAACACTGCTGCACATGGATCAACCACAATACCAAGCCCAGGGATGGTATGACGGGCCAAGAATGAAGGTAACTTATCCAAGCCTCCAAAAAACAAGGCCTGATTTCAAAGTAAAAAACAGAAGGACCATATGGTATCCATTAACATTGGGGACCTCCCACATTGTTTGCTAGAAAAACTACTCAAACTGAACGGACAAATTACTTCGAAACATGTGATAATTTGTAATAAACACCATGAACTAAAACAGACTACAGACTTCTCTGCTGCGTGAGTATACCATTATCCTCCTTTGTTCTCTAGTAAATTATTTTTAAATTTGTACTGACACTCTCTCACTCATATATGGAAAGATATCATCAGATTATTTTATGTCAATTTACACATGTAACTCATACGAAAGTTAACTTCTGTTCCAATTGTTCTAAAATCAATTCATTTTATGTGAAAAAGCTTCAGAACTGAAAGGCATTTGGGGAAGTCTGCTCGACCTTCAAGGCTGAGGATGATCTCGTTTTCAACAAAAGAACAACTGATAATACACAGAAGAAGGAAATTTTGAGCAGCAGATGCCAGTATAATAACTCAGTATTTTAGGCATTTCAAGGTTACGTGCCATATAATGGCACAAAGAAGCCTTGTTTCACAAGTATGCAAAGCAAAAAAGCAAGACTGGTCAAATGATACTACAGCTGGTCCTCACAGGTACATGTTATTATTATTTTATCTAATGCATTCTAAAACAATACATATATAACAGTTAAAGTGCCAACATGTCTGTGCAAACCAAAACGCAAAAATAGAGAAGGCTGTGATTGGTCGTTGCAACAACCTTTGCATTTTCACTTGTCCACACTGTGAAGGCTCCCTCTTATCCAGCGTGTTTTTGTGTGTGTGTGTTTACATATTTCTCAGCAATATATTTCAATAAGCACAATTGCATATGACATAGTCAAGAGAAGACAAGATATATACACTGTACCAGATTTGGGGTTATGCCACGAGCAACAGCAGCACCACCAATGGTATATTCTAGAATCAGAGCCCAACCTACCAACCAAGCAACACTAAAGAAACCACATGACGCGAGTCACTAACTGAAGGTATCATAAACATAGATAAAAAGAAAGATTTTCATGGTTTGGTATCTATTCAAGGATCAATCACAATAACATATTCCCCCACCCATGTCTTAAGAAGCACTTAGCAATATGCCTGAGCAGCTTAACCATGTTCTCAAACTTAGCACTGTTTTTGTCCTATAATGAAATTGCCTTTTATTTGAGTGAGAAAATTTACAACCAGTATGCCTTGAAACTAGTCTATTAACAAAGAATTTTGTTACATCAAACAGGGCCGGCACATCATATAAATTAATGTGCACTAAGGATGATACTCTGTTGGTAGATAGCACGGGTAAAGACTATCAATAGTACAGTACATTCAAATGATTAAAAAGATTTTACAGTACCCTTCTCCAACGCATATGTATGAATAGTGATAGGCACTCCCAGCAGATGGACAACGACATGCAAGCTCTGCATAACAAAATGCTGAGAGTGCAGCAGCTATCCCAGCAATTAAGAATGAAATGGTAAGTGCAGGTCCTGCACCCTCTCTAGCAACTGTGCCGACAAGAACATAAACTCCAGCACCTATTGTAGCTCCAACTCCTGATTGATAGGAAGTTTAGAAAGAATCATCTCTATGCTTATAAGGAAATGAGACGTACAATGAACCTAGCATGAGCTCGAATTGAATGTTGCACACGTATTTTGGTTCATCAATGCTAAGCAGTGTGCACTCATCACATGGTTAATTTAACACAATGAGGAAAATCCTAAGAGCAAATTCTTCCAAGCAATTGCAATAAAACCAAATGAACCAAACTCATTTTATATTTAAAAAACAAGAACAGTAAAAAGAAAGAAAGGGAAACTATTATGCTAACAACCCCATTAAACAGTGACTTGAGGAACAAATTACTTTCAACTTACAGACAACAACATAAGAAAACATTATTGAATTAGCTACATTCATACACTACATACCACAAACTTGAATGAACATATCACAAGCTAATAAGAAAAGAAAAGTGCATATGTGGGTTAGGCCCGTTGGTCAGAGTAGTGTGTCCGCCCCTTACGTTTAAGTTCGAACCTGATCCCCGTAGTTTAGAATATCGCATTATCGAAAGTGAAAATAAGAAAACAAAGCAAAACCCAGTTCCAGAAAGCAAGGGAGAGAAGCAAGTTAATGGAATTATTACCAATGGCAATAAGGTCAGTGACAGATAATATCCTAGCCAATTGATGATGCCCCTCCCTCCTCCCCACATGAACTGAATCAACTTCCTTCCTCTGAATCAAACTTCTAAACCCCAAAAGCACTTGCTCCCACCAACACTTTGCATATCAGCACTTCGCAAACCCAACCAAAAACACTCAATTCAAAAGCACTTTTCGCCTGTTCTACTATATCACTGAAATAAAAAGGAATAAATTGTGGGTTTTTCTCAGAACAGTTTGGAGATAAGGGAGTTTATGAAGGAGAGGGGGAGCAGGATGACACTGCCACTGGGTTGTTGGGTGAAAGATGGGTGCTTTTATGGGGATGGTGGCCGAAGGTGATAGATTTCTGGGGATGGAGGTTGATAGTGATGGATATATTCTACCAAGTAAGTAAAGTAACAAATATAGAAATTACAGCAGCAGCAGCAGCACAAAGTTGTACACTTAAGGTAAGAACTGGACAACGAGGGGAAGAGGTGGAGAATTGCTTGCATTTTTGCAGTGTACCCAACATTCCAATCTTCACGAACCTTCGACCAATAATTTCTAAGGAAAATATACTTACTCCACCAATTTGCTTGCCACAAAAACAAATTTAATCTAATACAAAATTTACGATATGCAAACACTTTTAAAATGATTGAAAAATGTTTTTGGTGTGAGTATTTTTAGGTTCATTTAAATATTTTATCGAGAAAATATATTTCTTGCAGGAAGTATTTAAAGGTTTTTTTTCAGGATTTACTCATAATTGGTTTACAAAAAACATTCATTCAAAACGTTTTCAATCGGTTTAAAAGAATACTCACATTGTCAAATATGAGCCTAAACTCAGCCATGGATCGCATTTACTTTTTCCATCAAAGTTTAATAATTGTTGAATTTATTGGTTTATAGGTTGTTCTATAATTCACCGTTAGGCAAAAGACCTAAAAATGTATTTTATATTTGTTTTATTCAAAGAACCAAAGTAGCGTTTTGCTCATGTTTCAGTGGATTTTCAAATTGTACAAGATCCTCCTGCGTCACAAGTCTTGAACGATAAGAAAAATGTTACACTGACATTAAGAGTGGTGAGCAAAATACACTCGGAATCAATCGGAGCCACACCAAAGGCATGATAACTTATGTACATTTTGTTCTGAAAATCTCCGCCTTAGGCGTTAAGCCTCTTATTAATCTCTAGCGTTTAGAAATTAAATAAGTGCGTCTAGATCGCTTAGACGCCCGTCTAAATCTCGACTCTCGCTCAAACAGATGCATTAGCCGCATCACAGATCGCACTAAATGCACTGCAAAAAGCACAATTTTCTTGGTCACTTTCCCTAGCGTTAACGTTTGCAGCTTTACAAACACAATAATTACTCTCTAGTTCATCAAACAAATAAACGTTACAGAAAAATAACAACAGCCATGCTTTTTCTTATTCTGTCATACATTCTTCTTTTATCACATAGTTTTGCTAGTCCTTTTTCCTTCCATCTACTCGCATTCAAACCAATACACACATCCTCCACGTCAATCATCTTGCCTGGGACTCCTACTCCTACTCCTACCTCTCGCATCGCCACCGTCGGAAAGCGGGGCCCAAATGCTTTGACTTCTCTCGCCTCCGTTTTCCCAGGTTCGTTGCCTTACGCTCCTGTCATTCGTATCCCCTCCGTCAGAAAACTGGGCCCACACACTCCGAGTCTTTGCCCCTCCGCTAAGTTCCTCGTCGCATCCAGCGACTGTCTTCAGCAGCTCTGACTGCAGCAGCGGGCAGTTTTCCTTGAGATACTCAAAACCATCCGATTCCATGACGGCTGCATCAAACATGTCAATCAGAAAGTGTAGAAATGATAAGTGAGCACAGAGAATTAGGAGACTGGCATGTAAAGTGCAATAGAAACGACAGGCACCATTCTCGATTCCCAGGTTTTTGGTAACTGCAGGATCCCCAAATTTTGATCGTAAGAACTCACTTGTAATCTAAGCTTAAGATTTTGATATTTGTATAACTAAATAAATTGACAACGAAATACTAAAGTGAATGCACAATCGTACTGCAGATTCATCACAAACACAGAGAGGAGGGGAAGGGTGGGGAGAACAGAGTGGTTGATGGCTCTACTTCATAAAGCAAACAGCAAAAGCATATCATCCTTGTTTTGGGAAAATAATGCATACTGTTTGTAATTTCACTCCCACAATATGTACTTTCAAAAGTAAAAGCATAAGCAATCAAGGCAGCAAAAGCATATCATTATTGGTTACATGCAATTTGACTCCCACAATCTGTATGTTAAACTCACTGTTATACGGCAGGTCCCACTTGCATGTTGTTTGATTGCTCATGCAAAACCTCAATTAGTTTTGGCGAGCAACATAAACCTAACCAGGAACTACAAGTTATCCCAGATATGAAACACTTAAAGCTGCTAGAGAAATCAGAAAGCTCGAAATTGAGTCAGAATCAGATAGGTTCCCTACTCCTACCATCCTCAATCTGTCCTTTTGCTACTGGGTAAAAGGGTCTGCGTGAAGTTGGAAGATAAGTACCCCTTATGTTTGTTATGCACTATTTGATTGGGTCAATCAGCTGCTTTCGTGTATTTGCATAGGGGCAGATGGAGAATCGTGATGGCAATGGAAACAAATCTTTTTTATTTTCCAGGAAAATAATAATATTATCGCAAAGAGAGAAAACTACAGAGGACCAGTATATACACAAAAGGCACTTAAAAAGCAGCTGCTTTCCAATTTGAAAAGTTTGTAGAGAAGAAGTATCCCTAAACTTGAAAGAAGTATACCAGTTTGTAGAGAATGAATTGGTTCTTCAATTCATTCATATTACTACGAAACTCAAAATCCCAACTCAATAGAAACTGAGAAGGAATAACATACGCCCTAGCTATGGAGAAATTGAGATGCTGTGATAGACTGTATAGTCTAGGAAAAACAAGGCATAAGGTATTTTCCAGCACCTACCTCTGTTCCCAAAACCTGACCCTTTCATCATTACCCACCAAAATTGGAAGCAAGAAGAAAAACGAGTTAATCCCTTGATAAATGTCTTTCCATGGCCTCCGACTTGATCCCTTAATGACTAGACTGGAATCCCAGCAGCTGCACTCCCTAATTGTTTCTGATAACAGTATACAGTATACCAAAAGGACACACACATAACTTATCCTGATTCAAACCCCTTACCTACCCCTTACATAAAGTAAGAACCATGAAAACAGAAAATTAAACAGGGAGGACATACCAACTAGGTTTTCAGCAGCAAACTTTAGGCATACAGACTTTAGATCCATAGCACGATAACGGTCGGCCAAGGCCAGAATAATGGCAACAGAATTAACAGACATAATCTTGCAGAGAACAGATTCACACATCAGTCTGAGTCGAGGTAAGCCATATTTGTCTGATGCAGCTAGCAACTTCGCAGCTAATCCATCAGATAGAGATGACATGCACAGTGAACTTGCATCTGACAACTCTTCATCTTCAATAAGGTTATCCGTGTATATGAAGTGTAGCAATGCCTGCTCAGACAGCACAAAAGACATTAGATAGGAAAGCAGGATGAACTTTGTTCATAGGAAGCAAACCACCTAGGATAAACTGGTATATTATATTATTTCCAAATGCCAAATGACATACTACAACAAATACAACTCAATCTTACAAAAGCATAATTTTAAAGGAAAAGAAATAGTTGAGAAGCGTTACCTTAAAGACCTTGGGATCCATATCTGTAACAACTATATCATGATTCTCTTCTTCCGTTCCATCGAAAAATTCTTTTTCAAATAAAGGAGATCTAGCTGCCAATACTAGCTTGTGAGCATGAAACCTTTCACCACACACATTAAATGTAACATCTGAGCCTTCCTCATTCTCCAAAAGCATACCAAAATGATCCCCAATATCAGAATCGGGGACTTGTATTGAGTGCAATCTTGAACTATCTATTGCAGAAACCACAACACCAACAGTGCAATTGATTTTCAAGCAATCATCCTTGAGGAAACTTGATGATTCGAGCAGCGTCCTTCTGAAAAATCGTTTGTAGCCCCTAAAACCCAATTGCAAATAAGTTTACTTTAAAATGTATAAACGATACGGAGTTCAAATATCATTACATAAAATCTACATATAAAATCTGTTAGTAGTCAAATACCATCCATTTCTAAGACAAAAACACAATTGATTACAAATAGCAATCCTGCCACGCCTACCAGTACCAAAGTAGCTATTCAAAATCCTATTCTCAATCTAACAAACCGCCAGTCTCATCAAAGAACTGCAAGAATTCATTCATTCACAACATGCACAAACTCATTTCCAATTAAGTAAAGCATGGAATTAGCGAAAAAACTGCGAAAAAAATATTCATTAACAACATAAGTAAACTAATTTCCAATTGTATACAGCATAGAATTAACGAAAAATTGCGAAACACATTCATTCACAACATACGCAAACTCATTTCCAATTAAGTAAAGCATCGAATTAGCGAAAATTTCAAAGAATTGAAATGAACCCAGAACAAGAAACCAGCAAAGTGAAATTACCCACCACATGCTGCCCCTGTACTTGAGGGTGTAAGGCCCACTTTCGAGGGATCGATCGAAATGGCTATGGACCTTGTGCTTGCCATTAGGACCCTGATCAACGAGAGTCAATTCGAAGAGAGCTCGAACGTCGGTGCCCTCGGAGGCGAGGGCAATGAAGACGGAGACGTAGGCGGAGTTATCCTCAGGGTTTTTACCATCAGGGTAAAAATAGATGGCCCATTGAAACCCTCCGACGGTGAAATTCTCACTGGCAATGTGCTTTCCGACCCCAATTCCTTTGGCCAAGGAATACCCTTTGATGATGAAGTTGTGGGACCCGTTAACGGTTTCCGTCACGAAGCGCGAGCTCGACGGCGACGCCAGAGACCGGCCGTTCTTCTGCCTGCCGGATATCATCTGTTTCCGAATTGGGGATTGCAAGCTCGAAATCTGCAATTTCACAATTCAGCAGTAACCAAAGTAGGTCAAAAGCTTTTGACTGGAGAATTTGATTGATTTTTTTCCTAAGATTTCTTGCAATTTCTGAGATTTTTTGTTCTTTTGGGTGTGTGGTTTTGGCGGTATTGATGGATTTCACCTGAGAAATTGGGATTGTGTTTTGGCTTGAGAAAGAAGCCGATTTGGTATGTTTCTCAAAGTTTCCTTTTTCCATTTTAATTTCTTTTTATTTTTTAATACGCGGGTAAAAACAATTTCGTTCCACTACGAGATGAATTCTTCTGCATCTAAAATGATCTCTCGTAACTTTATTTGGAAAAAGATCTTCGTTGGATCTATTTTTTAGTGAATTTGAAGATTTTGTAATCGTATTTGTTCATCGTACATCGTGTGATCAGAAATAATTTAAAATTTAAAATTATATAAATAAGGTAGAAAACATTACTAATAATTGAATAATTCATTCATAGAGATAATAGACACAATTCACATGGATATAGTAAATCTTGCTTGGGTTGCTTTACTAGATTGACATCTTACCATTCTTGATCGTAATAAAGGTCGATGCTACCACATTGAACCTGTTGTTGGAGAAGAAAATCAATTTATTGTTTATGTAGCTTAATCCTTGGACTTTTTGAAGATTATTTGGTTACATCACTTGAGGTCGTGAGAAAAAATTTTCCCAATTAAATTTGGGGTGTGCTATCCACACACCCCATTTTACTTCTTACACACCCCTTGATAACTTATGTCCGTTGATCTTCTTCAATTCATCCAATCCGACGGCCAAAAATTAAAAAATGTGTGAGAAGTAAAATGAGGCGTGTGAATATCACATGCCTTAAATTTAATAGTCAATGTAACTTAGTCCACCTTATGTTATCATTAATTTATCAATCTAGCCACTTAATAATACGTCCGAATTATATTTTTCCTCAATTACATGTGAAAAATCTTAATTTCGAATCTTAAAGTGGAAATTCGCAACCAATTTATTAGGCATGGTTTTCGTGTTCATTTTCAGTTTCTTTAAGTATTTTATCTGCATCAGAAAACTTCTTGTAGCAATATCATGCACCTTAATTGGGTCTCACTCCTCTTTTCGTAATCCCAATAACTTGTACGGTGCATTTGTTCTCATCACTCTTAAGCAATGGTAATGTTCATCATTTTATTTATTTACGTTGTATAAGTTTAATTTTGAGATATTTATCCACAACACAAATTTTAAAATTTAAGTTTATATAACGGAGATACATAAGGTGCAGCACCATCACCGAGGCCGGTTAGAAAAATATTTCCAATTTTGAGATCACAAGCGTGCATGGGGAGTCCTTTCCCTCTCCACATGAAAGAAAAATCTTACAATGATGCTCATTACCCTATTTATCTAAGTTTTGAGATTAAATTTCGAGATATGCGTAATGAATAGACACAAATATCAAAATTTAAACTCATCTAACGTCATTAATAGGGTGACGAGTATTACCACTATTTGAAGGTGGTGAGCAATAATGCACCCCTGAAAATTAATGCATGCACTTTATTTTGATGATACAAGAAAGGTTTACATCGACTAATGAGATATTTTAACTCCATTAACTAAATTAATCTCGGAATTTCGACTAAAAGGGTGAATGCTCTAAAATAATTCATTAATCTTTCTTTTCTTTTATGCAAGTGACATCACGGAGGGGAAATCAAACTCAAGACCTCGACTAAATAGGTGAACACTCTTCACTAACTGAGCTACAAGCCCTTACACGTCGAACAATTATTCATTTCAAGTAATTCCACGTGCAAGGAACTTGTGCTAGTCTATTTACTGCGCTTCTCCATTCAACTAAACTCCTGCCAAACAAGAAAGACCCCAAAGCTTCAAGCGCAGACGGAAGGCCGCGAGCATGATCCAACACAAGCTCGCACAGCTCTACATACTGCTCCTCCGGCGGATGGCCTTGCTTAAACGCTTTCCAACAAAAAAGGCGAAGCGCTTCTTCGTGATTCAACGCCTGTGCCCTATAAATCCTGTCAACACGGTATCTGATCAGCAAGTTTTCATCCCTGGTTGTTACAATGATTCTACTTCCTGCGCCAAACCAATCGCGGCTCCCAGCCAAGGCTTCTAACTGTTCTAACCGATCCACGCCATCAAGAACGAGAAGAACCTTTTTATAGCGCAGTCTGTTCCGGATTGCATTGACTCCTCTATGTACATTCCATATCTTAATATTCTTATCCACGAGGATTTCCGAAATAAGTTGTTCCTGTAAAGGAACTAGGCCTTGTTTTTCATAAACTTCTTTTATGTTAGCAAGGAAGCTGCTGCCGTTGAACTGACCAGATACCCTGTCGTAAACAACTTGAGCAATTGTCGTCTTGCCTATACCTTTCTCCCCGTAAATTCCTATAATGCGAACATCGTTCACCCCCATATCCAAGCAGAGATTCAATTCCTCCACTCGGGAATCGATTCCAAATAAATCCTCCGGCACGCTTGAAAGCTTTTGGCTCAATTGATTTGATATCTCTTTGACAATCTCTTGGATAACTTTTGCCTCGTGCCTACAAAACAGACAGCAAGAACTTTGTGTGTGAGGACTGAGGAGTCAACAATAAGCCATAAACACACAGATACAGATACGTAGTATAGTTTAGTTTCTTCACTGAGACTGAAAATTTGATTGAAAGAAGCGAGCCACGATTTCAAGCATCATGTAAAAATGCACTCTGATTCCGTATAGAGCAGCACATTACTCACTTGAGAGCAACATAGCTACGTAATTTCCTTGAAATTACGTGATGCAAGAAGCAGGATCCAAATTCAAAATGAAATCTAGCATTCACATTTCGTGTCCGCTTAGTAAATCAAACAGTCTTGGTTATACAGATATACAGTGAAAATATACACAGCTCAAGTAACTTAAAAGCTCCAAATGCTGTTTTCAAAAACTCAAGTCTGATTTTTTTCTCAAATATCACATAGAAAACATGACTCGATCCTCGAAAAGGACGGACTTATATGCACAATTCGAAAGAAATCTCTGTTCCGGTTATCTAAAATTTGATAACTGAATACAATTTCCTCTTTTTTCAACCTACTTATGTAAAGGGTAAACAATGCCAAACTTTATCCTCTAGTAGGTGTGCTGCGTCTGCTCAGAATTTCCATTCGGCAACACTGTCTAAGTAGTTACCTTATTTATGTGCTAAACCATACGAGGAGTCAATCATAAGTATGCATCGAATACAATCCAAATATCGTTATCTATGTGAGTTGAATATGAAACCTCGCTCTTAATGAGTACCATTAAGTACTACCGTACTAGACCCAGGTGTTAGTGACGACTAATCAGTCTTTTTTTTCTTCTAAAAAGGGACCAGCTAGTGGCCGAAAAGACGTACAGAGGCATTTCAGCCTTCCTTGATCACTAACGTATGATTCACTAGCGCCAAAAATCGAATCGTGCCAACGCCAGGCGTTTCAACTTAACTAACAAATATAGTAGACCAATTAAATTTACTAATTTTAATCTTTTTATGCCAATTAGTGTGGGATTAGGCGAGCGGAACTACGTCTAAGTAATTAAATTGGTTGATGACAACTTACTTGTTATACAAATCCCACCCAGAGAGGCTGGCTGCATCTCTCAATGCACCTCTCCAACTCTCCACCTTGTCCATGAAATCCTCCTCATGCTTCCTGAACGCCTTCTCAAAATACTCCCCCCTCTGCTTCCTCACATCCGACGGATCCACATCGTAGAACACCGGAAAAACGATCTGGCCCGTCGATTTCATGCACCGGAGGATCTCCACGAGCTCGTCCAAGCACCGCGCGAGGCGGCGTAGTTTTTCGAGAAGACCACGATCGAAAACCTTGATTCTCCGATCGACTTGAAGACCTCGGAGGAAACGGGCTTTCCTCTCTCGAGTGCCTCATCGTACCGGAAGGCGATGATCCCCTTCTGGTCCAGGGCGGCGCAGAGGTGGTCGGTGAAGTTACGGCCGGTGTCTTCGCCGCGGAAGTTGACGAACACGTCGTAGATCCACCCTTCGTTTTCGTTCTCCATTTCTTGAAATTCAGTAGCTCTCTGAGATTTTTGAGATTCGAATTCGATGGAGGTTTGGCTGTGCTTGTTGACTTATATTGACTTTGTTCTGCCGCGTTGGGAATTTGGAAACTCCATGGAATTCTCGTGGAAGATGGAGGGAAGGAGGAGAGGCATCGCCAGACAAAAGTGGAAACTCAGCTTCTTTCGTAAGCAAACGTGCGGGAAGCGCGCGTGCGGTTATATCATCCTCGGATGCGGTCCGGTTTGAGATGGTTTGACATTAAAAACATTTACCGGTTTGATTTGGTTCGATTTTGACCAATATCAATAAAAAAACATTCAACGTTTCATGAATTTTAACTTTCCAACATTCTAATTTGATCAAAAGAATAAGTTTTTCCGAACACAAAAATTCATGCTAGTGTGCTAGCAAATAATTTTGTTAGTTACAATGTCGTGTAAACATAAAATATAAACAAATCTCCAATTGATAATAGTCATAAAACTTATAATGTGGTGACGCTAATAATATGTTAACATGTGTAAAATAAATAAACTAATAACTAAAATATATATAATCAGTTCGGTTTAGTTTTAGTGGGTTTCAAAGGTAAGAAAACCGAATAAAAATAAATAAATCTGTTCGGTTTGATTTTTAAATTGTTTAACTTTTGTCTGGTCAAAATCAAACCAAACTGATCAAATGGTTCAAATTGGTCGGTTTGGTCAATTTAGTCGTTTCAGTCAGTTTGATGCTCATCCCTACCTTCATCTCATTTTAGTTTAGATGAGTATCCCTGTAACGAAAAACGGGAACTGTTCAGTACTACGGTGTAATTGTATTCTTTTCTCGCTTTCAAGAGTTTAAACCAAATCATAGAATATGGACATTAGACACCCAAATATTTATAAATTAGTCCGCAGAAACCCTTGACTCTAGCTGCAGATCATGATCAACCATTCCATCATCTCATTGTATTTGCATCTCCCATTTCTCATCAGCGGTTTCATGGCGGCATTAAAAGAATTTGAAGCGGCACGTGGCGGAGACGGCAGCACAGAACTAGAACACGAAGAACGGGGAAGTGAACTTCTGTTACCCAGAAGTTACTTGGATCTGTATTACTGCTTGCTGGGAAGCCCTAGTACGGACGACTGAAGAACAGGAATACCGCATACTTTATGACAGAACAGACACACATTAACTTAGCAATAACTTGACAGACAAGGAACCCGGGAAAAGCAAAGTTGCCAAAGAATCAAAAGTAGCAATCCAACCAGAAAGGCTCTGAAGAATTTGACTGCATTTCCAATCATCGGATTGACTTTCCTGCTTTCCCGGCGTTCGACTTCATCATAACACTCGTAGATATCACGACTTTGTCCAGTTATTATGGCACCTCTTAGTCCTACTGATGATTCATCAAAATCAGCACGGAATATCTCCTCCATGTCTTGCTCGTATACCAGACGGAGCCCACACATTTTCACCTCCAAGCCAGGGACACTGGACTTGAACGAAGCCTGAATGTGTCTACATTTCCACCACTCAAATGCACTCTCTGGAAACCCGTTGCGCGTTAGGTAGCACAGCCAAATGTGATCTGACTCGATCCATATGTCTTTGGTGAAGGGAAAAACAATGCCAGGGCTCATTGTACCTTTGTCAGTATCCAACTCACACCGAATCTTTGGATCATCTGTTGAATTCAAATCTACACAGCGGATGGTTGCATTCTCGCAGACTCCGAAAACAGCAGATACGGCAACTCCCTTGAACTTACTACTGCACCAATGTGGACGTACCTCGATACTTAATGAAGTGCCCACACTCTGATGCATGAACCATGTTGGTATTTCACTTCCAGGAATAGCACTACTGAATCCAGCAAATGGTTCCTGTACAACAATAGGTACAACTTTTATCACATGTTTACTTTGCAGCAATATGTATGCGAGGTATGAGTATCATTCTCATCCGGACATATCATTCGTTTACTAACTCATAAGAATGAAAAAGAAGGTTCCTTGTTAAAATTACGTATGCCAATCAGGTACTGATGAACTGCCCACCCTGCCTTGTTCATCCCATACCTTAAGAATCATGTGAAGTGTCTGTGTGTGTGTGTGTGTGTGAGAGAGAGAGAGAGAGAGAGAGAGAGAGAGAGACAGACAGAGAAACCTGAGAATCAGCTTTCATTGATGATTGAAGATACTTTCTGAGCATGAGAAAGGTCAGGTTAATGCCTTCATTCCCTGCCAATCTATAGCAGTTAATAAAACTGAACCCCGCCCATGCTGAACTGCCTGCAGACAATGGATTTGAAAACGTTTCCAGTGACAAACAATCTTGTGCCATTAGTTCTCTTACACTCGATGGAATGTCTGGCAATAATTGAAGCCTCTTGCAACCATTTAAGTTCAGTTCTGTAAGCTTTGTAAGTTGACTGATGCTTGCAGGTAAACTATCGAAGTTGTTTCTATTCAGATTTAGCTTCACCAATGAGCTTAAGCCGCCAAGATCCGAGGGAAGCATTCCTTCTGATAGATTGCAGTCACTTAGATCAAGTTCCGTTAATGAATGTAAGCTTGACAAACACGGAACCAGAAACCCCATAGAATCTTGACGTCTTCTCATGACCAATGTGGACCAAAAGGATGAAATCCACGGAGTAGATGGCAGTCCATTACATCCGCGGAAAGATAATAACTTAAGGTTCTTCAAGAGTTCAACGGAGGGTGGTGCTTCTCTTATAGCTGTTCCACCAATATCAAGATCCTCTAATGATTCTAAATGCCCCAAGTTATCAGGCAGTTTTTCAAGTTTTGAGCAACCAGATAATGCAAGAACTTTAAGAGACTCCAACGCACAAATGGAGCTCGGAAGATTCACAAGGCCTTTACAGTCTCTCATACTTAAATATACAAGGCCGGGTAGATGGTCGATTGTTGAGGGAAGTTCTCGTATAGGCTGTACCATCTAACGACAGTTTGAACAAGTGTTCCATATTTCCAACAATCTTAGGGAACTTTTTGAGTTTTGTGCAACCAGAAAGAACAAAAATTCTAAGGGACTTCAGTTCTATGGAGCTTGGAAGACTTCGAAGACTTTTACAATCTTTCAGATTCAACAAAACAAGTCTTTTAAGCCCTGTGATGGACGGGTGAATATCAGATAAACTTGTACAACCTTCGAGGATCAGCCTCTCAAGGTTTGGGACTTCACTAAAATCCGGGGTCTTGATGAGACTTTGAGAGTAGCTTAGCTTAATGATTTTCAACTTCTCCAGAGGCTTCTATACATCCAGAAGAAAGGGAAAAAAAAAACAAAGAGAAAAGGAAGAGAAATTAAATTAGCATTTACTGATTTGCAAACTTTTTGATGAAATCACATGTATAACAATCCACAGTACCTTTATAACTTTCCAGAGTTCTTCAATGCGGCTATTACACAAGCTAAGTTCGAAAAGTTTTTCTGGTCGGAAATTTGATGGGAGAGATCTTGAAGGATATCCGTGCCATTTGAGAACTCTTAACTCATTCGAGAGATATGTAAGCTCTTCGGAAAGGTGCACATTACCTAATTTGAGCATCCGCAGTTTGTTCATTTTAGAGAAGGCCTCAGTGCTCGTGTGAACCTCCTCGTCTGCACGTGAAGTTAGGACTAAGCCTTCAATGACTTCGGTACCCTAATTAACAAGAGAAAACATCAAGACAAGTGCATGATATAGCAGACTAAGTAGAGTAGAACAGATTATAGTTTTGCTTAGTCGTATGTTAGTATCTGAATTCAAACTGCACCAAATCTCTTACCTTATTATTCACTAGTACATCATAGACATCCTCGAAAAGCCACAACCTGCTGCGTTTTCCCGGCTCGCTACGAGATTCTTGGCGAACAATTTCCCAACCCATCTCTTGTAGTAAATCATGCATCCATAACATATTATACGAAACACTTATGAGAGACTTATCACTTAATACTCGTATTCCAATATCTGAATGAAAGCCAAAGCTGTCAAGTATCTTTGTTACTCGAGCTTTGTTCTTCCACTTGAAGAAACAAGCGATATCTAGGAACATGTTTCTCTCCATCTCCTCTAGTCCTTCGAAGCTTATTCTAAGTATATCGAAAACTGTTATGTTGGGAACTTCTTTTAGTTTATCCAATGCAGTTTTCCACTCAGATACATTCCTGCGAAGCAGAAAGGACCCCAAAACTTCAAGCGCCAATGGAAGACCATTAGCATAATTTAAAACAAGGTAGGAGAGGTCTAGATATTCGTTTTCCGGATGGTCTTTTTTAAATGCTTTCCAACTAAAGAGCTCAAGAGATTCATCTTGATTCAATTCCTTAGCCTTGTATATTTGATCCACTCCATGGCGAAGAAGCAAATGCTCGTCTCTAGTTGTTATGATGATTCTACTCCCCAAACCAAACCAATCATGTTTTCCTGCTAACTTTTCTAACTGTTCTGATTGATCCACGTCATCAAGAATAAGAAGAACCCTTCTATGCCGCAGTCTGTGTCTTATTACACTGGAACCTTTGAAGACATCCCATACATTTACATTTGTTTCCATCAGGATTTCGGAAATCATTTGTCTCTGTAAAGAAACTAGTCCACGCTTTTCGGAAACCTCTCTGACATTAGAAAGAAAGCTGCTACCATCAAATTGGCCCCAGATTCTGTCATACAGAACGCGAGCAATAGTTGTCTTACCTATTCCTCCCATCCCGCAGATCCCTATAATGCGAACATCATCTAACTCTGTCCCTAAGTACGTATTTATTTCCTCCAGACGAGATTCTATTCCAACTAGTTCCTTGGAAACTTGTGAGAATGTGTCACTCAGTTTACTAAATATTTCTTGAGAAATTTCACGGATAACTTCTGACTCGTGCCTGCAGGACAGACATTCTATGTTTTAAGCAAGCAGTAAGCACAAATCAATGAGTGAAAATATTCCGAAGGGCAAAACCAAAAGTTTGATTACCTATCTTGCACATGCCATCCAGAGAGATTGGCTATCTCCGTCGTTGCAGCCCTCCATCTCTGCACCTTCTCTACATTTCCCTTGAAAGATTCTTCGTGAGTAGCAAACGCTTTCCCAAAACTCCCTGTTTGTTTGCGCACCACAGAAGGATCCACATCATAAAAAACAGGAAAAACTGTTTGTCCCAGTTCCTTCATGCATTTGCAAATCTTACTAAGCTCGTCCAAACACCACGCTGAAGAAGCATAGTTTCGCGAGAAAACAACTACCGCAAACCTTGATTCTTCGATTGCTTTGAGGAGTTCCGGGGCAATGGATTTTCCTCTCCCAAGTTTGAGGTCGTCTCTGAATGTCATGATTCCTTGAGGTCCAAAGCAGCAGTACAGATGGTCAGTGAAGTTCTTGCGAGTGTCTTCGCCTCTGAAACTAAGGAAGACAGTCATATGTGCATTGCGTTGGATGCGTTTGTATGCTACTGGAAGCCATTCGGAACTTACGAGCTTATCGGATTCAAGCTAACGGAGACAAATCAGATAACATTGACGGAAAGTTTCTTGTCAATCACAACTCTTGGATCAGTGTAATATGCAGGTGAATTTCAACTTTGGGAATCCCTGTGAAAGTGGAAAATAATAGTGATGAGAAATGCCCAGGCAAACCATTAAAGAGTTTATACAATATTTTGTAAAAGAAGCAACCCTAAATCAACAAGGCTTCTCGCTTTCTGCAGGCCGGAAAACATCTACCGTACGCAGCCTTACCCATGCTTCGCAAAGAAGCTGTTTCCACGACTCGAGCCTGTGACCTTTTGGTCACAAATGAGCAACTTTCCGTTGCGCCAATCCTCGCGTAAAGTGGGAAATTAATCTTTTAATTTTTTGTTAAATCATGTCACTAATACACAACTTAACTATGGATATAATAATTCAGATGGTTCAAGTTGTCAAAAACTTAATTGAATGTGTGTTCTCAGGTTTTTTGTTTTGTTTTGTTCTTTTTCCTTTTTAATTTGGCAATCTCTTCATCATGATTCATATACACACAAATAATGCAACAAATTCACATACCAGTTACGTCGAACAGCAGCAAAGCAAAGCAAGGGCCTCTCCTCTGCTGCTTCTGCTTCTGCTTCTAGAGAGAGAGAGAGAGAGAGAGAAAGTAGAGAGAGAAACCAGTGAAATCCCAGCACTTTCTAGTTCTTTGTATTTGCTTCACTTCATGGTAAAGTTGTACAGAACCAACGCCAAAAATAATAAAAAATAAAAAACGGTCGAAAAGTATTAGGATAGGATGGAAATCCTGGAGTATGAATGATTTGGCCTAATCGTAGAAGGCCACGTCGTTTAAGAAATAGAATTATGGGGTTTATCATTACTATTACATATTTGCCCCCTAAACTTTTGGGTTTTTACCAGTTTGGGCCCTTACCCTTTTTTTCATCCCATATTGATCTAAACTTTTGAAAATGCACTTAATTGGGATAGAAAGTGAATTTCGTTACATAAGTTCAAAAAATGACATATAAGATTTTTTGTAATTTGGGTAACTTGTCTACTGTGATCAAAATGTCCATCTGCGATATTATTGAGAAACAAATTTGTAGACATCGAAATTTCAGTAAAACAAATGTTCACCAATGCATTAAAGTTTTGACGTGTCAAGGCATACATGGCATACGCCACGTGTTGTACAAATTGTACACATGGTGTTGACTCAACAAAATAGGGAAGAAATACCCTTGAAGGATTAAACAAGTTTTTCTTCTCATTTGGGCAATGACAAGGCAAGTACATTTCAATCCATTGAGGATCAAAACAAGTTTTTCTTCTCATGTTGGCAATGACAGGCAAGCACACTTCAATCCATGACGATCAAAGCAAGTTTTTCTCATTGGGCAATGACAAAGCATACACATTTCAAGTTTAAAAATGGTGTTAAGTGGAAATTAGACCATAAGTTACACCACTTCAAGTTTAAAATGGTATTAAGTGGGAATTTAGGCCATAAGTTACACCACTTCAATTTCAATATTGCATTAAGTGGGAAAATTAGGCAATGGTGCTTGGAAAGGAAAAAAATATTTTGTGGTGGTGATTCATTCTCAAAGCCTATAAATAGGCTTCTCCATCAAGGTATCAAGCATCAAGGAATTCACAAATACATTTCTCTACTCCCAAAATGGAAGAGAATACTCCACACACATCCAAAATTCTTGAAGCTTTGAAACTCTAAAGCTCTCAAGCATCCAACCCCCAAATTCCCAAGAATCCCGAAGAATGGAGAAAGCACTCTTCATTCTTCGTCAAATCCTTCTTCAAGATCAAGCCCCAACGGCCCTTGAAGAACTTCCACACAACCATTATTCAAGATCAAGCCCCAACGGCCCTTGAAGAAAGTGTTCATTGTTCATACACTCATTCTTCAAGATCAAGCCCAAAAGCCCTTGAAGATCCATTCATCAACTGTTCATCCTAAGATCAAGCCTCAACGGCCCTTTGGATCAACAAATCCACACATCCAACCGTTCTTCAAGATCAAGCCCAAAAGCTCCCTTGAAGAACTTCCAACAACTCAAGATCAAGCCTCTCCCGCTTCTGAAGAAAGTGTTCATCATTCATCATCCGTTCATCCTAAGCTCAAGCCCCAACGGCCCTTTGGATCAACAACATCAACAAATCCACACATCCAACCGTTCTTTAAGATCAAGCCCAAAAGCCCTTAAAGAACACACAACTATTCTTCAAGATCAAGCCCAAAAGCCCTTGAAGAAAACCAACTGTTCTTCAAGATCAAGCCCAAAAGCCCTTGAAGATCCGCTCATCCATCAACATTCAAGATCAAGCCCCGAAGGCCCTTGAAGAAACTTCCATCAACCTTCAAGATCAAAGCCACAAAGGCCCTTGAAGAAACTTACAACTGTTCATCCAAGATCAAGCCTCGACGGCCCTTGGATCAACAAACCTACACCCTACGAAGATAGAATCAGAGGACCAAATTTGAGAGAGATCGTAACCCCAAAATCATAAATTATCATAAATTCAAACAGACGGACCAAAAACTCACATCACCATTATACATTCACGACTCGCACTTTTGCGGAAACAACAATGAGGGGATTGAGAGAAAGATAGGTTTTCTTCATGAGTAATTCATTTTCTATTTTAACTTGTACAAAATTTGAAAGTTTTCATTCATCAAATACATTGCATCTAGTCAGTGATCTAATCCAATCCAATCTTAGACACCAAACGAAGCCTACGATTTCAAGTTGAGAACACCCTACAATGATGATCCTTAGTTTCCGTTTCTGTTTGTGGGGATGCGTAGTAGAGTTTGTTTGGAAGTGCTTTTAAAATTGTTGAAAGTTATTCTCATAAAAATGTTTTTGGAACAAATCCTTAGTAAAAATGCAAGTAAATAAAAAAATACATTTAAAGTGCTTCTTTTTATGTGCTTCTTACAGGAAGTACACTTATAATGCTTTTAGAACTAAAAGACATTTTCGCTAAAGTGCTTTCATTCATTTAAAAACACTTCAAAACAAGCCAGTAATCGTTTCCATGGTCTTTGGGATATTTGAGCTTGTTATTGTTATTGTTATTGTTGCTATGCTTTGCCAAACAAAATTTTGCTCAAAACAGTTGAACTACAAAACCTTCGAATGAGAGAAATTGCAAAAGAAACATCAAAATTGAGCAATCAAATAACATATTTGATCTGTCTAGCTGCCTATTCAGAACACTGGCATATACATTGACAACACATTCAGAAACTACCATTCTTATTGTCATAGAATCCTGGCTCAGATTCACAAGAATCACGAAGCAGAACCAGTTTCTTCCTCTCTCAAATGGCATCCTTCGCCGCCAAACCACATTTCCCCCCACCGAAGTGAAATATACCCACAAAATTGCAAAAAAGAAGATGAAAACTCACAGTTGCATTCCATCAACTTGTCTTCCACGACCATTACAAGATCAAAAGATATGGGTCGAACAACATGTAAACATGTTAGCTGAGAAGGGATATAATGCCGGAAGCCATTTTTCTTAATAAGGAGCAACCAGAATCCAACGACCGCAATTATTTAGAGTCTTTGTCTTTAGACTTCTTTTGTTCAGAAACCCTTGCTCCCGTGATCTTACAAACAGGCTCATCCTTCGACTGGAGAAGCTTGAGATCTGGATGAACTTTGAGATCTCCCATTACTATCTTTTGATTAACATCCAACTCGCTCAGATCCACATCAATATATGGAGGAATCACATCAGCAGGACAAAGGAACTTTACAGTCCTCTTGATCGTATTTAGACAACCATCTGCCAAATTGTCAAATGTCACGGTTTAACTTAACTTGATAAGATCATCAAAGCAATATGAATAACAATGCAAACTGATTGAAAGTAACCAAAACAGCAAACTTGATTCTAAGTACAACAAAAACCATAAAGTACGACCCTTCACATACTAAATTTACAGTACATAATATATATCTTAGAATACGAAAAGGAAGCCATTATCAAATTTTCGTCTCCCTCTATAATTGAACCTCTAATTTACCTCACCCGCAAACTAATTTGCAACTAACCTTCATGTCCATGATTTTGAAAATGATTATACATAACACAAAAAGCAATCTACCAAAATCAATACGAAGAACCACCTTCAAAAATTTAGACGCACTCGACTCTTGGAAAAGGAAACTTTTTTCTTTTGACAAAATCCTTGTATAATCCCTGACAACTTCCGGGACTTTTCAACCTAATTTTAGTTACGGATTTGACCCAATAACATGCTCCACAACAAAAGCTTCGTATGCTCGAACAACGATATTAGGAATTACAGCTTTGAGACCAAAACTTCCAATCATTTCATAATCTCTTGCAAGAAACAATGACTTCCCACATAAATTCTCAAAGCATTTAAGATTTCAGAATGTTCCATATCCACAAAGGCTTGTAATAATCCAGAACTACAATCTAAAATCTGATAATATCTGAATGCTATGTTGTGTTCAAAACAGGCACCTACATTCTTCTTTTCTGTATACGTTTAAACATAAAACATCGAGGAACACAACAACGGAATTATGAGAAAGGAACAGTGGGATATAATCCGAATGAGACCAAGTATCATAGTTTGCTAACTACAACAGTTTGTTATATGCACAACAGAATGGTGGCAATGTTGAATCAAGGCATGGCATACACAACAAGAGGATAGAAACAGACAGTGCATGCGGAAATTCGCAACAACGGAATGAAACAAATGAAATCCCATACAACAGATAGAAAAAAGGTGGTTTCTTTTACTTTTCTTTAATCCAGGAGAGACATCATCTCCTCGAAATACAAGAGGAATCTCGACTTTCAACAAAGCATGAGAAGGAGCCCGTATGAAGGTCACATTCAGCGGTGCGTCCGTCGCAGAGTGCAGATGAATCTAACAAAAAAACACAACATTTGATAAACCCTAACAGCAAATTAAATTAAATTCAATTGGATTAAATTTGTTTAAGTTATTAGAGACTGCAGAGTGTAAGACTACATACCGAGCGAGGCAAAACGCGGACCCGTTCAACGACGTCGTTTTCAGAGTCGAAGTCGGAGCGAACCTCGAGGTCGAAGAGCCTGGAGAGGAAGAAAGAGCGGCCGAGATGACCAACGAGCTTGCGAATCTGGTTGGTCCGCACAGAAACGAGGCGCTTGTTGCCGCCGTGCTGGCCGTCCTCCTGCTCGAAAATGATGCTGGGGACGCGGCCGGCCTTGCGCTCTTTGGCGGCGATGCTCTTGCCGGAGGTGGTGCGTGGGACTGCGAAGATGGTCTCGGCGTACTTCGGGTCGGGTATCGGGAAGGATGTGGTGGATTCGAGGTCGCGGTCGAGTTCGGGGTCCGGGTAGAGGAGGGCGGCGGCGGATGATTGGGTGTAGCGGCGGAGTTGGAATTGGAGTGCTTGGGTGAGGACGGCGACGCGCTGCCTCTGGAGGAACATTTTGGAGTGGTGGCCCACTGAGGACTGAGGAGAGTGGAGAGGAAATGAAATGTTTGGGGTTTAGGAGGGTTTTTCCGTTGAGCCCACAAGCGAGTGGGGATTTATTTTCTGCGGCTGGAGACGAAAAAATAAATAAAAATCAGGAAATTGAAAAAGAAGCAAAACTTTGAGTTATTTTGTCACATCCCAGTTCGGGACAGATCATTTTCTGGGTCCGCTTCATTATCGTAGCAAGATATTGTTTGCTTTGGGCTTACCATTCCCTCATGGTTTTATTTTTGGGAACTCAAAAGCAACTTCCCAGTGGGTCACCCATCATGGGATTGTTCTCGCGCACTACTCGCTTAACTTCAGAGTTCCAATGAAAGCCGAAGCCAGTGAGCTCCCAAAAGGCCGCTTAACTTCGGAGTTCCAATGGAAGCTAAAGCCAGTGAGCTCTCAAAAGGCCTCGTGCTAAGTAGGGATGAAAATATACATATAAGGATCACTCCCCTGGACGATGTGGGATGTCACAATCCACCCCCCTTAGGGGCCCAACATCCTCGTCGGCACACACGTGGCCAGGGTTAAGCTCTGATACCAATTGTCACATCCCGGCCCGGGACGGATCACTTCCCGAACCGGCTCTACCATCGTAGCACGATATTGTCCGCTTTGGGCTTACCATCCTTCATGGTTTTGTTTTTTGGAACTCACGAGCAACTTCTCAATGGGTCACCCATCATGGGATTACTTTCGCGCGCTACTCGCTTAACTTCGGAGTTCCAATGGAAGTCGAAGCCAGTGAGCTCTCAAAATGCCTCGTGCTAGGTAGGGATGAGAATATACATATAAGGATCACTCCCTGAACGATGTGAGATGTCACATATTTTGTGCTTATCATCATAGTTGTTCATATAAAAAATCATTCTTTAAAGATCATCAAAAAATGAACAAAGGCTAAAACTATTTAGTTAATTTATTATAGCAAATACACAAATATAACGGTTTGTAATAATTTTATTAATTTCATTTATTTGTTTCTATATAGTTTGATGACTGAACGATCTATTTTTACAAAGACGGTCTTTATAGAGTAATTTATAATATGAACAAAAGAATGATTCCAATGAAGATAAAAGCACGCTCCGTGGAGAAAAAAATATAGACAGCATCATGAATCCTTTGTATGAGAAGGTAGGGGAAGAAGCTTATTTTTTGCTATTGCTGTGCTTTAAAAAAAAATTGTTTTGCTGTGCTGTAAGAATAAACTCATTTTTGCTGCTTTACGTTTTCAGTTTTTTTCACCCAAAATTATGAAATTAAACTATTTTTAAATATTTACCAAATACCTTTTTGAGCTCAACTTTTTTTATACCTATTTTTTATAAAAGCATCTCAATACTAAACCAGTACTTTACGTGAGTCATTACCCCTTAAGAAAATCTACTCGTTCTGTGCTCCCCACGACATTCTCATGTGTGAAATCATCCCACTCCTTCTTTGTGAACTTCCTTCGGTTCTGCACCTTGTGGAAGGTTGAGTATTACTCCTGTTGATTAGGTGCCCTGGAAGATGGGGACATGACACCTGCAACAAACAAAAACAAATAGCATAATTTAAAAAGTAAACCAATGAAAAAAGCTTGAAAGTTTTAAATTTTAACGATAAGAATAAAATAAAAGATAAAATAAATAGTACTAGGATTGACTTTTTAGTATAAAAATATGATTTTTCGTTAAAATAATCAGTATAGAAAATTTTCCGTTAAAGTTTTTAATTTAAAGAGTACAATGGTACGCTGACCGTACACGCCTACACTCTTGCATGATTTATAAAGCTGAAATGGGAATGGATATTCTGCATTTTGCATGTTGACTCAGTTTTTTTATAAATAGGCAGAACAAATAGCCAACACAAACTCTATATTTAGATGAAAAAATTTAAGATTATTAAGAAATTTTAAAACGACGGAATTTTATTTTCTAGAATTTGTGAATTTTCTTGTTTGGTTAACCTAAAAGAACGATGTAATTGAATACGAAATTTGTTATTTTTAAACTCTCAATCACATAAATTGAGAAATGACACCTATTTAAATAAAATTTAAACTTATGAATTGGAGATCTCAAATTCTAAGTATTTTTCCGAATAGAAATTATAAATTTTTATGCTTATGAATCCAAAAGGAATTGGTGCATGTCAATTTTATAAATTTTAACTTTTATCTAAATTCCAAGTATATTTTCCGCATCCTAATATAGTGTTAAAGTATATAACAAAGCAACTACGGAGTAGCTGGAACAAGAAGTCAGTCAAAATATGTATAAACGCAACAATATATGGTCTCCTTCGGCTGTTCCAATTCTTTTCTTGTGGGCTAGAATAAATTTTTAATTATGACGGGAATGCAAATGGTACATTATATGTTTTAATAGGAGTGATGGAAAATTTTTTTTTTTTTAAGTTATTAACTTTTTAGCATACATATTCCACCATTTGTATAATGATATGTAATGGATCTTCTCGTGTACCGATCACATTAAAAAAATATCTCCTGGGCTAGAGTCGATGGACCTGCTAAGAAATTCTAGACGACTTTGTCTACCCTTGACCTGTTTTCCCTTCCGCAGCCAAGGACTCCCGCTCCCACCATTCGACTGATGACTGCATGGAATAATAGTAATATGTTTTGGAGGAAGATTCTCTCCTTCGCTCGTCTCATATTTGAACGGTCACGGTTAAGCCGCGTTAATATTTTATATTGATTTTTTTATAAAGACAATAAGACAAAAAACAATGTGTAAGAGCAGAGGAAAGAAGGGGATGAGAATAAGAGGGAAGAGAATCCTACTCTATATGTTTTAATGTGACAAAACCCTTTATTAATGACCAGGGTCGCATCCATTCATCTAACTAAAACTTTCTTGCACTGCTGTTGCGAAATTTAAACTACCCGAAATCAGTCCAACATAGTTCCAAATTTTATACTCTCAAGCATACAAATTTTTCGTTAGTATGGAAAGCAAGCACTTAATATCGCCTCTCGGAAAATGATTTAATTCGTATCAACTAACTAAATTCCAATTACAACGTTATTTTAATTTAACAAAGATTGATGAATGAAGATTAGTTTGAAAATTGAAACTAATGTAAAAACAAATAACGAAAACAAGAAAGTATGATCAATAGAACTGGAAGTGCCAACAAAGAAAGCAATTTATAATTCAATTGAGTAAAACACTAAAACATCCGACTCACCATAACCAATCATACTTATTTCATGCAACGAATTATTAACAAGCACCCAATCTCACTGATAGTCAAATTTCCCTAATTCATGTAATATCTATGGCATCTAGATTATTACGTATATTCCACCATGCAACCTTCCATGGCATCTGAACTAGTTTAACATAACGCAACTTATTACGATCAGTGGAAATTTATATAAAGACTACACAAATCCTTGAGTATGGCATCTACTACTAGGTAATTGGTGGTATCTATTTGCAAGAAGTTATCACTCAAGTTGAAAACATGGCATCTGCACAACTTGCATCAAATTTACTAAGTGTCAAGATGTTAGCCAATCACCAAGACTAAAACCAAGCATATATGCACAACAAATGATACTCAATGAAAATTGAAAACTTGAAAATAATACAATTCAGAATTTAAGCATTCATAGTCATGGCTACATCGTAGCTCTAGCTAAAGAAAATTAGTTCCGAAACATAGTTGAAATTGTCACTGAATTCATAATAAGAAAACTGAAAATTAAGTTTAGAAATCTCTCTGAAACTCCTTTGCTCTGCCGCGCCCTTCTCCCGTCTGCTCTCTGCTTTCTCCCTGCGCTCTTCTCTGCTTTCTTTACTCTCCTCTCTCCTTTTTTTTTTTTTTTTTTTTCCGTCTGTCCCTGTCCTTATTTTCCTGCTATCTTTTTCCCTCTCTCCCATGGGCTGCGGCACCCTTCCTCATTTTCTGCTCCTTTTTCTCCTACTTTATTGCTTCATTTCTGAACCTTGTCTTCCAGCTTTTCTGCTGCAATTTGCAGCAATAAAAAAGGCATCAGCAATTGCTGCCAATTAACCTCTAAAAGCCACTGGTGCTTTCACATGAGCCAAATAAAAAAACCAACTTCATAGGCTATTGGGTGGCCCACTATAATTTGACCACCAATCAACATGATCTCTCATTTTTCTGATTTTGTAGCAGCTTCCAATTTGTCTAGAAATTACACAAAAATCTTAGGAATGTTGCCTTCTTATTACTCTAGTCATAAAAGCACAAATCTCTGAAATTCCTTTCATTTTCGTCCAACTTATCACAAGAAAATGTAACTTTCCGAGTAAATAAATAGTAAAATATGCAATCATCAACTCCCACTCCCAGCATTCGACTGATGACTGCATGGAATAATAGTAATATGTTTTAATGTGACAAAACCCTTTATTAACGGCCAGGGACGCATCCATTCATCTAACTGAACTTTCTTGGACTGCTAATGTTTACCTTCCAAATACAAAACCCAGCCAGAAATCTAAACTTATTTCGAGAAAAATATAGCTCCATACAATAAGTTAAAAATTATTTCAGCTAAAAACGCTTTCACTTCTGTAATACCAAGAAGTAGGCAGGTAAAGAATGTATGACTTACGATTTGAGATGCCATTTCAGAGAAGTAATCAACTTGCTGATAATCCAGTAAGAAACCAAAGCGCCCATTGCTAAAGGAGTATCGAGAGTGCTCTGAGAAAATGAAAAGAATCAATAACCAAATATTTTGGCAATTACACCAAATTATAAAACTAACTTTAACATAAGATTACTGAATAACTAATTCAGTTGTAAGTGCCTGTGGGTCCATACGACAAATTTAAATAAAAAAAGGTTTGAAGTAACATTGTCCTAATGGTGCCAGGCAATAAATGGTGTTTCTATGATCTAAAAATTGATCCTCAAAGGGACAAGTAATAGACAAGAAACACAATCTAGGTGTATTGCACTTGGCTATGTATATGTCTACTGAGTATTAAGTGTCCAGTAATCTACTAGCTAAATCTTAGGACACAAAGACATGGCCCTATTATCCAACAATTTCAATGATTCTCCTTT